CTTTTAAAACAAAATTTGTTGAGTAAAAAATTCTTTTAATATAAAATTTGTTGAGTAAAAAATTTTTTTAATGCAAAATTTGTTGAGTAAGAAAAATTCTTTTAGTAAAAAATTTGTTAAGTGAAAAATTAATTTTGCAAAAGATTTACGCACTAAAATTCGTTAAAAAGTTCGTTGAAAGAATTTTCTACTGAATATTTATAGTAAATGAATATTTTTGTGAAAAAAGTTTTACTAAAAAAATTTTGTACTAATTAAATTTTTTACTTAAAAAAATTGTTCAGTAAAAGAATTTTTGAATTAATTTTTTACTGAAAGGAATTTTTACTGAGTAAATTTGTAGCTAAAAGGAATTTTTACTGAATAAGTTCGTTACTAATTTGAATCTTTACTGAATAAATTTTTTACTAACAAAATTTTCTTCTAAACAAACTATTGTTTAGTGACAAATTCTTTTAGTAGAAAAAATGTTTATTAAAAAATTATTGTAGAGAAAAATTTATTCCCTAAAACCTTTGTTTTTACTAGAAAAATTTTACTAAAAAAATTATTTACCGAACAAACTTTTTTACTAAAAGAATTTTTTTACTGAATGAACCTTTTACTAAAATAATTTTTTTATTAAACGGAATTTTGATTAAACAACGTTTTACTAAAAAGATTGTTTACTAAAAATCCTTTTTACTAAAACAAATTCTTTCAGTAAAAAATTTGCTTTAGAAAAATTTCTTTTAGTAAAAAATTTGTTTAAGAAAAAATTCATTTAGTAAAAAATTTGTTTTAGAAAAAATTATTTTAGTAAAAAATTTATTCACTAAAATCTTTGTTTTTACTAGAAAAAATTGGGTTATTAAATGAAATTTTTAATAAAAGTATTTTTTACTAAACAACAATTTTAGTAAACAAACGTTTTAGTTCATAATGTTTTAACTAAAATAATTTTTACTGAATAAATTTTTTATTAAAAAAATCTTTAGGTGTGTTTATTCCTTTATAAACTTTATTTACTAAAATAATTTGTTTACTGAAAATATTGTTGAGTGAAGGAATTTTGAACTAAATAATTTTTATACTAAAAATATTGTTGAGTAAAGGAATTTTTTACTAAATAATTTTTGTACTAAAAATATTGTTTAGTAGATAAATTTTTTACTTAAGAAATCTTTTACTAATTTTTTTTTAGTAAAGTAATTTTTTACTAAACCCTTTTTATTAGTAAAGGAATTTCCTAATGAGCAATTTTTTAGTAAACAAATATTTTTCTGATATTTTTAGTTAATTTTTTTCTATACAAATGAAAATTTTATTTTTTATAAAAACTAATTTTTCTTAAAATTTATGTTTAAAGACTGGTGTATTAAAAAAAAATTAAATTCAATACCTGGAAATAAAAAAAATTGTGTTAATTTTCGTATTTTCAGTTTAAAAAATTTTGTAAGTAAAATAAAATAAAAATGTTAGGAAAAAAAGAATAATTTAATAAGGAGAGACGGTAAAATGACAATACGAAAATATTTCAGAGTATTGTTCACTTTATGATCATCAATATCACATTATACACAACTAACAAATTTTTTTTTTAAAGAGAAAATAGTCACGTGATAAATAAATTCTTCATTCTCAATTATATAGGACCGTTTTTAATGATATTATTAATTTTTTCCTTCTCCTTTATTTCGATTTTTGTCTTTTCATTTGTCAATTTTTATTCTAATTATTATCAATTAAATTTTTTTATTTTAATTTTTTGTATTTTAATTTCAAAAGTTTTTATTTTTATTTTAAATTTTTAAATTTATTTTTGAATAAATCAATTCTGTTAAATTCAATTTAATTTGAAACTGAAAATTTAATTTTAAGTTGAAAATTGAATTTGGATTTCCAAATTGAATTTGAAAATAAAAATTGAATTCGAAAATAAAAATTGAATTCAAAAATAAAAATTGAATTTAAAATTGTAAATTCAATTTGAAATTGAAAATTGAATTTGAAAATAAGAATTGAATTGGAAAATAAAAACTGAATTCAAAAATAAGAATTAAATTCAAAAATAAAAATTGAATTTGAAATTTGAATTGGAAATTGAAAATTGAATTTGGAATTAAAAATGGAATTCGAAAAAAATTGAATTTGAAATTAAAAATTAAATTTGAAATTAAAAATTGAATGTGAAGTTAAGAATTGAATTTAAAAAAATTGAATTGGAATTTAAAAATTAAATCCAAAAAATTGATTTTCAAGTTCAAATTCAAATTTTTCCGTATTTACTTCAAAAATTAAAAATTAATTATCCTTTTAAAAAAAAGTGATATCAAAATAAAAAATAAAAATGAGATAAATTTGAAATTATTTCAATTTAAAAAGTCCGAAAAAATAAAAACCAAAAAAAAAATTGCCGACAAATATTTTCGAATTCTGTAAATTAACTCCAAAAAGTTTTTTTTCTATGAAATAAAACACAAAAGTCAATTTTTTCTTGACAAAAATCGAAAAAAGTGATTGAAATTTCACTGAATATTTCTATTAAATAGAAGAAAAAAGACACAAAAATTTATTTATCGAGCCATTTTTTTAATAATAATAAAAACCCACATTTTTTTTCAACTGTACAACGAAAAATATTATCAAATTGTTTAAATCATTTGCTTGTATGTTTTTTTTTTTGCAAATCCTGGGGCGTTTTTTTATTTCTCTTTCTCTTTGAATTTCTTTTCAAGTCTTTTCAAAAATTTTCTCAAGAGTTTCCTCTGTACCTTTTTTTTTTTTTTTCATATATTCGACTAAAAGATTTGCTTTCTTTTCGCATTTTTTTTCAATCTTTGTGAAAAAATTCCCAAAACGAAGACAATTTTTTTTTCTTTTCGTATTTTTCACATACGGAATGCGTGAAAATTTATAATAATATATAATATTAAAAGAAAAAAAATCAATGAACTCACACTCAAAGAAACGAAAAAAAATTTTGTTAAAAAAAACAAAAATTAAATTTTATTAATCCATTCATTCAATATGAAAGTCTCTGGATTAACGGAAATATTCAACAATCAAGTGCTTTCTGGTCCAACAAACAATTTTTATTTTTTTAAAAACAACTTTCACTTTTTGGCACGTCTATTTTTTTTCTTTTTTGCAGAAATGGTGTTAAAAAAAGTTATGATTTTTTTTCTTGAAAATAAGAAAAGATGAAAATAATATTTTTTATGGCGGAAAATATTTTTCTAAAAGGAATTTTTATACTAAAAAAAAATTTTTAAAGAAAGAACTTTTTACTAAAATGATTTTTTACTAACTGGAATATTTTTCTGAACAGAATTATTACTAAAAGAATTTTTTGCTAAACGGAGTTTTTTACTGGACATAATTATTACTAAAAGATTTTTTTACTAAACAAAATTTTTTCCTAGTAAACTTTTTAAAAAAAGAAATTTTTAGTAAAAAAATCAAAAAGTTCTTCTGCTTAAAAGAATTTTCTTTACTAAAAAAGTAACAAATTTTTTTCACTAAAAGAATTTATTATTTAACGGAATTTTTACTATAAAAATTTTTTTACTGGGCAAATTTTTTACTAAAAAAATTTTTAATTGACAAATTTTTTACTAAAAGAATTTTATACTCAAAGAAATTTTTACTAAACAAACTTCTTACTAAAATAATTTTTTCCTAAACGGAATTTATACTAAAAGAAATATTTTTATTAACGGAATTTTTACTGAAAGAATGATTTAAATTTTTTATTATTTTATTTAATTATTTTTTGATAAAATAATTTTTTTACTAAACGGAATTTTTACTGAACAAAATTTTACGAAATGAATTGTTTACTAAAAAATTTTTTTACTAAAAGAATTTTATACTCAAAGAAATTTTTACTGAATAAATTATTTAATAAAATAATTTTTTTACTAAATGGAATTTTGACTAAAAAAATTATTAACTGAATGAACTTTTTACTAAAATAATTTTTTACTAAACGCAATTTTTTACTTAATAAAATTTTACGAAACGAATTGTTTACCAAAAAATTTTTTTAATAAAACATTTTTTTTATGAATAAATACTTTTTAGTAAAAAATTTGATTTAGAAAAAATTCTTTCAGCAAAAAATGTTGTTTAGTTAATAATTCTTTTGGTAAAAAATTTGTTTAGTTAAAAATTCTTTTAGTAGAAAATTTGTTTAGTTAAAAATTCTTTTAGTGAAAAATTTGTTAAGTGAAAAATTCTTTTTATTAAAACTTTAGTCCCAAAATTATTTGTTCACTGAAAGAATTTTTTACTGGATATTTATTAAATAAATACTTTAGTAAACTAAGTTTTTACTAAATGAATTTTGTACTAATCAAATTTTTTAGTTAAAAAATTGTTCACTTAAATAATTTTTTATGTTAAAGATTTCTTTACTATAATAAGTTTTTATTAGAAGAATTTTTTACTCAAATTTTTTTACTACAAGAATTTTTTACTAAAAGAACATTTTACTAAAGAAATTTTTTACTGAAGCTTTTGACTATAAGAATTTTGTACTAAAAGAATTTTGTACTAAAAAAATTTTTGAATAAAGGGATTTTTTACTGAAATTTTTTTTCTACAAGAAATTTTTTACTAAAAGAACTTTTTACTAAAAAATCTTTTAGTGAACAATTCTTTTAGTCAAAAAAAATTTTTACTGAATCAAAACTTTTTACTAGAATTTTTTCCCGTAAAAAACAATTTTTCCCAAAAATAATTTGTCTTTAATAACTGTTTTTACCAAAGAAAAATAATTTTGACCATAAATATTATTTTTACATCAAGAAAATAATTTTTCTAAACTCCAAGAAAGCATTTAATTAATTTTCTTTCGAGTAAATGTAATTAATTAAATTTCAATTAATTCTTTAAATAATTAAAGAATTAATTCTAAAAACAATTAAATTAACTAATTCATAAAATAATTAATAATAAAAACAAGAAATTCGTAAAAATTGAAAAAAAATTGAAACATCAATAAAAAAATGTACATTAAAGTTAAAAAAAACTGTATTCAAAATTCTAGACGTGACAAAAGTTGTTCCACATTTTCGACACTTGCACAGAGCGCCATCATCAACAGTAAAAAATCGAGAGCGCATTCTTTAAGATTGTATTGTAACGCTTTCACACTTTTTTTTAATAAAAAACCGATTTAATACTTTTTCCTTTTTTCCCTCCTTCTTTTTTTCCCCTTCCTTTAAATTGCAAAACTCAATAAATAATTAAAGAAGCAATACGATTCATGGCGGAAAATAAGTTTGCGGCCATTTATCACAAAAATAAATGCAATAATAACAAGAAATGTTTTGCAATAAATGCGAATAATTATTTTTGACTAGAAATTTCATCAGTTTGTAAAAATAATAATAATTATAATAATAATAATAATTAATCTTGTCAATTAAATAACAATCGTGTGTTAGAAAATTTTTATAAATTATTACTATTATTATTACTAAAAATTCTTTAATAATAAATTGAGTCAATGACGTAAATTTTTTATCAGTCGAATGATTTGTTTCATTATTCATTAAATTACACGTACCTGAATAATGAATATTTTCCATTAATAAATAACTTTCATCCTTACTAATTATTGTTGTTGTTGATGTTGTTATTTTATTAATTATCCTTGGACAATTCAAACCACGTAATTTTATTAATTTCATTGCCATTGAGAATGAATTTGATTTTATATTATTGAATTGTTCCATTATGTAGGAAGAAGAAGAAGAAGAGATGGATTTTATTCCTGGGATGGAAAACGGATGTTGATGATGATGACGACGATGGTGATGATGATGATGACGTTGATGATGACGATGGTGACGATGGACTTGGGGAAAAATGATTTTTCCTTTTGAAATTGAAGAGAAATGGGGATTATAATGCCCCAGGAAATGCAATATCTCTCATGTGAGTAACGTATCGTCTAATTCCTCGATTTTTCCCTCTGGTTGTGAGAGGACTTTTCGTAAAACTTTGCTGACAACGTCGGTGAGCGATTCTTTTGCTCCTGCATCGAGGAGGGCGACACAGCGCTGAAAACAAAAATTATTTTTCTTTTATTTTTAAAAACAATATTTAGAACTTAGAATATTGAGAAAAAAAAAATAATATGATAAATTATTTTCTCAATTTGTTCAAATTATTTTATAGAAATTCTTCGCAAGAATTCAATTGTTTTCATAAAAAATAATAAAATTCTTCGGAAGAATTCAATTAATTTTATAAATATAAGAAAAATCTACAGATGAATTCAATTATTTTCAAAAATTATAATTTACAATAAAATTCTGTAAAATAATTTAATTATTTTCAAAAAGGAACAAATTTCCTCACAAGAATTCAATTATTTACAGAAATATTAAAATTTGTCTCAAGAATTTAATTATTTTCAAAAAAAAAATTCTTCACAATAATTCAATTATTTACAGAAATAAAAATTGCAAGAATTCAATTGTTTTCCTAAAAAATAATAAAATTCTTCGGAAGAATTCAATTAATTTTATAAATAAAAAAATTCTTCAGATGAATTTAATTATTTTCTAAAATTATAATTTATAATAAAATTCTGTAAAATGATTCAATTATTTTCAAAATGGAAAGAAATTCATCACAAGAATTCAATTATTTTCATATATTGTATATTAAAATTCGTCTCAAAAATTCAATTACTTTTGAAAAAAAAAATTCTTCACAATAATTTAATTATTTTCAAAAATTATAATTTATAATAAAATTCTGTAAAATTGTCAATTATTTTCAAAAAGAAAAGAAATTCATCACAAGAATTCAATTATTTTCATAAATATATTAAAATTCGTCTCAAAAATTCAAAATACAGATGAATTCAATTATTTTCAAAAATTATAATTTATAATAAAATTCTGTAAAATAATTCAATTATTTTCAAAAAGGAAAGAAATTCATCACAAGAAATCAATTATTTTCATAATTTTTATGAAATTCTTCACAATAATTTAATTATTTTCAGAAAAAAAAAATCTTTGCAATTATTCAATTATTTTTGAAAATTATAATAAAATTCGGTGAAATCCACTGAAACAATTCAATTATTTTTTTAAATACTAAAGTCTTTGCAATCATTCAATTATTTTCAATTATTTTAATTTTTTCCTTTCTCGTTCCTTCTGGTTATTTAAAATCTTTTTTCTGTAAAATTCCTTAATTTTCAAAACGTTTAATAAATTTCTTGAAAAATATTCAAATATCGTCTTTAAAACTTAAGAAATTTCAATTATAATTTCAAAATTCAATTATTTAAAAAATAATTAAAGTAATTCTAAAAGTGATTTAATCTCAAAAATTCAATTATTTCTAAAATTGTCTGTAAAAATTTATTTAAAAAATTCAATTATTTTCCAAATTTTTAAGAAATTTGTTGTAAAATATTAAATTTTTTTCTATAAAAAAAAGAAAATTATACAATTTCTTTTGTAAAAATTTAATTATGTCAATTTTTTAATAAAATTCTTGAAAAATTAAATTTTCTTTTTTGTAGAATTTTAAAAACTAATTTTTCAGAATTTTAAATACAATTTCTTTAAAGAATTCAATTATATTAAAAAATTTTGATTAAATTCTTCGCAAAATTTCAATTATTTTCTATAATTTTAATAAAATAATTCCGCAAGAATTCAATTATTTTTAATAAACAGTAAAATTCTTTATAGGAATTCAGTTATTTTCAATAAAATTTTACGAAAGAATTGAATTAAATTTTTTCCAATTTTTTCGAAAGAATTCAATTATTTTCTAAACTTCTTATAAATTCTTAGAAACAATTCAATTTTATTTAAAAATAGTAAAATTCTTCGCAAGAATTAAATTATTTCTATAAATAATAAAATTATTTACAAAAATTCAATTATTTTCAATACAATTTTAATAAAATTCAATAATAAAATATTTAAATATAATTTTTAACAGACACGATTATCTTAGTTTTTTTTCTTAATAATAAAATTCGTCGGAGGAATTCAATTATTTTTAATAAAATTTTAATAAAATTTCTCGAAAGAATACAATTATTTTTAAAAATAATATTAATTAAATTCAAATACTTTCAAAAATTCTTCTTTAAAAATAGAAAAAATACAAAAAATATAAAAAGAAACAAATATGAAAAAGTAAAATAAATAAAAGAATAAATTAAAAAAACAAAAATATAAACAAATAAATAAAACAAAAAATAGAGAAATAGAAAAGAAAGGATATTTGAAAACTAAAATTATTTCAAAAAAAAGAAAAGAAAATGAAAAAAATTGAGAAGGGAAAAAACGGAAAGAAAAAATAATTGTTGAGAGCCTTTTTTTACCTGATGCTCCTCGTCTCCTTGTTTTAGCCTCAAGACTGCAATAAGAGCCAATTCACTGTTAGCCTTCACGTAGCCATTCTTTTCCTTTGTGCCATTCACCAGCATGGGAAGAAGTGATTTTAATAATTCAGGTGACATTTTCTCAGACGAAATATTTCTCGCAAGATGAATGCAAACCCTCGCCAATAATTGTTTCACATCATTGCTGTTGTTATTCATTGACTGTAATTTAAAGAAAAAATCAACATTATTATTATAAAATATAATTATTATCATAATTTTGCAATAATTATTATTTTTCTCCTTTTCTGTCCTCATATTTAAAATCACCGACCTTATTTTAGTCGAAAACGAGTACCATATCGGTTTTGTTTTAGAAAAGTCGAAATTTCGATTTTTCAAAATTTCATTTTTAAATTTTGATTTTTTGAAAATTTTAATTTTTTGAATTATAGACGAACGTTGACTTTAAATCGACCTTTAAGGTGCAAGGAAAAGTTATTCTAGTCGATTTAAAGTTCAAGAAAGTACAAAATTTCGTTTTTTATGTTAATACTAAATTTAATTAGTCAACAATTTTGTAATAATTATTATTTTTCACCTCTTCTGTTCTCAGATTTGAAACCACCGATCTTATGTTAGTCGAAAACGACTACCATGTAAATGGCGTTTAAAAAAATCCAAATTTTGATTTTGAAAATAAAAAATTTTGATTTTTTTTAATTTTAAAATTAAAAGCCACTACTTTTAAAAAACATCGATTCTAAAATTTATTTTACAATTCTTTTTCATGTAAGATTCGAAAAACAGTGTAAAAAATAGAGTAAAGAACAAAAAAAAATTTACAAAAAAAACAAGAAAAAAAGCAAAAACAAATATTTTACTTACCCTAACAAATGGCGTCATAATTTGCGCAGGAATTGGTAAGCCCTCAAGCATTAAATATTGAAATAGATAACCACAAGCTCGCACTCCATTCATTGCAATTTGTGTTCGATCAGCCGATAAATACGAGAGTATAACCTTAATAATACGCTCCTTATTATTTTCCGTGTAAATTGTTGCCGGCGATTCTTTGAGTGTGACAAAAAGTGCCGCCGAACGTCCATGTCTAAGCATCCAATCGGCATTAACGTCAGTTGACAGTATATTATCATTTATCGCCGATGTCAATTGATCGGAATTCAACCAGCGTACAAGTGCCCCATAACAACCAGCAACAGCACTTCTTGTCACGTCCTCCGGATGTCCCAGCATTCCCGTTAATGTCACAAACACCTGCTTCTTTAATGGCTCCGTCATTTTGTCACCTGCCGGCGTTATTACTCCCCGCAGTGCCTGCAGCATTGTTTCTCTACAAAAAAATGCAAACAAAAAACTTTCAGTAATGTTTTTATTTCACCTAGTGTTAAATCAGCTGATTACGAAAATGTAACAAAATTTCTTTTTAATCAACTGTTGGTAAAGTAGAAATCTTTATAACATGAACAGATTTTGTATTTTACCGACTGACGGTAAAGTAGACTATTTATCGACATATGGTAATTTTTATCGACTGTCGATAAAGTAGAATTTTTTTTTATCGGCTGTCGGTAAAGCAGATTATTTGCCGACATCTTGTAAAGTTTACCTCTAGGTAGCCAAATGCCCTACTTGACATTGTCACCAATTATCCAAGTCTAACAGCAAAACTGTTTTACCGACAGTCTCCCGAACCCAACCTTCTCACTGTCGGTAAAGTAGATTATTTACTGACACGAAGTAATTATTACCTACTGTCGGTAAGGCAAATTTTTAGACGCCTTATAGCAATTTTACCGACTGTCGATAAAATAGAGTATTTACTGACATATTTACCTATTGCCGGTAAAGTATAATATTTACCATCCTCGAGTAATATTTACCTACTGTCGGTAAAGTAGAGTATTACCGACAGTCAGTAATTTTTACCCCTAGGTAGCCAAATGCCCTACTTGCCATTGTCACAAATTATCCAAATATAATAACAAAACTGTTTTTACCGGCAGTTGCCCGAACATAACCTTCTTAATGTCGGTAAAGTGGATTATTTACCAACATTAGGTATTTATTACCGATTGCCGGTAAGGTAAATTTTTTAAAAGTATTATAGTAATTTTACCGACTCTTGATAAATTAGAGTATTTACCGAAGTCTAATAATTTTACCGATTGTCGGTAAAGTAGAATATTTACCATCATCAAGTTATTTTTACCTACTATCGGTAAAGTAGATTATTTACCGACAACAGGTGATTTAACCCGTAATAAATCTTTAAAACAACTAAAATTCCACTCACCTAATTGATGGATCATCAGCAGTCTTGATACCAGTGTGTAATTCCGCAAACAGTGGATCCGTTCGTGTATGAATGACAATAAGATTACTGAGTGCATAGGCAGCTTTGAGTCGAACTTGTCGATTATTGTCATTGAGCGCCTTCAAAAATGTTGTTTGCAATTGTGGTAAGAATTGCTTGAGCATCACTCCCACTTTACCCAATAAAATCGCTAGTGTCTCTAAAACAGCCGCTTTCACGCTCCAATTGAAACGATCGCCTAAAATTCTAATTAGTGGACCTGTAATATGAACAACGCTTGGTTGTAGAGCCGTTGCACTTGTTAATTTAATAACTTCACCCAAACCCTGAGCCGCTTGCTCCTTAACTTCGGGAACACCATTAAGTATTGCCTCACGAAATATTGGCAATATTGGGGTAATCCCCTTGGGAAGACAAAATCCAGGTAGAAGATCTTGATCCGATGCCTTGAGATCGGACGCTGCAAAGCGAACGGCTTGCCTTATATCTTGCACGTAGTTGATTTGCTCGTGAGCTGGCACTGTCTGTTTAAATTAGAGAATTTTTATTTTAGTAAAAGGGACTTTCGCGTCTTCTATTCTTATCAAGCTGTGTTTTAATTAATTTCGCTAGGTTAGGCTCGATTCAAAATTGTCTAAAACGCATACGCGATACTTCGCGTATGCGATTTTGGATCGAGCCTAATAGTAAAAGAAGAAAAAAACGTACCTTAATAACGGCAGTGAGCGCCTCCCAACTCATTTGCAAGACATCTCGATCCTCATCAGTAAACAAATGAATAAGTCCACGAAGCAATTGAGGAACGTACTGACTGTAATCAGCCCTCGTATCCCGGCAAAAAGCACACAAAAGCGTAGCAGCACTGCGTCTAATCGGCGTCTCCTTATTCCTAGTAGCGTCCATCAGCTGATCCATAACCGTCCTAACACCAGTTTCGTCCGTAACTGACAAAATCACTGCCTGACAATACTCCAATTCCTGCATTTCATTCGCAGTCCCCTGCGAGCTGGACAACGCCGTCAGCAATGCTGGTAGAATCTTATGAAGGAATCTAGTCAGTGCTTCGCCGGCGACACTCACCAGAATCGACAGTGCTTTGGTGTTAACCGGTGGCGACGTTAATTGCGGCACCAAATATGGAAGAACAACACGTGACTTGATTGCCATCACTTGCCTAAGACCGTCAAGAGTATTCTCCGCCTCCTCCTGATCCGCGGAATTCAGTTGCACTAACATTGTTGGTAGTATGTCGTCCAGTGCCCTAACACCAACGGTTGTGTGCAAACTATCAAAAGTCTTCGCCGCCGCTTGTCGCACTTCCGGCAGGGGATCGCAGAGCGCCTTACGTACCGTGGGAACCAAACTGTTGACGAACGTCAAGACCATGTCCTTACTTGTACTGGCCATAATCTCGGACAGTCCGATACAGACCCCTTGTCGTTGATCCGCTTGTTCGGATTGTAGTCCTCTTTCTAAAATCGGAATTATCTCGGGCAGGACCCTCTCGCCTAGTTTTCGGACCAAGTCGCCCAAAGTTCGGGCCGCGACCTGCCTTTTGTCGAAACTGGTACTTGCCAAACAGCCCAAGAGAAGACTGAACAGTGTCGGTAGAATCTCCCGTAGAGTCTTTGGAGTATTCGTCACCACCACCTTCCAGACGTGAAGAGCCGCCTGCCGAACCATCAGAGCCACGTCCGATCGCCCCATGTACAAACCTGCCAAGACCCTATTTCTTCTCTCCGCTCCCAATGCCTTTATAATCGCCATATGGGACTGCTCCGTACCGAAGTTATCATCCTCACTTGCCGTTTCGGTCGACATTTTACCCGAAACACCGGAAATTCTATAAAGCAAGTCCCCTAGTAGTTGGACCGAAGAATAGCGAATTCGCCAATTGTCATCGAAGAGTCCCTTCTCCAGTTCTGGTAATAGTAACATTATGGCCGAATCGGCATAGAGGGTCACGATTCGCTGTCCTGCCTTTAGGGCCGTTTCGCGTACGTACTCATTCTCATCCGCCAGGGCCTTAAGAATCGGGTTTATGATCTGACCAATATAGGGCGTGAATTCACTGGTAAAAGCCGAGGGCATGTAGATAAACATCATTATATACCCGTCCTTAACATGTGGCGCGATGTCCGTCCTCTCGGCAGTGCTAATAATCTCCGGCATCAGTTTATGTAGCTTCTCGACACCCAGACCGCGAACGACTTCCGATAAACCTTGCGCGGCTCCGGACCTATCAACACTTGACGTTTCCGAAGTAAGCGTCTGCATCAACCAAGGAAGTAGATCCTCAAAACTCGATTCTCCCATCCCGCGAACCATCGCCCCTAAGGCTCTTGCCGAAACGCTCCGAACTTCCGGAACGGGGTCCAGTAGACTAGTCTTCAACCCTGGAATAATCGTCGGTAGGTACGGGGTTAGATCCTTCTGGTCCGTAAGGGAGTACATGTTCCCGATGATCTGCGCGGCCATTTTGCGAGTTTCGGTCGAACGGTCCATGAAGGCTCTTTGAACCACTGGCATTATCAACGCCAAGGAAGGCGCGTCGATGAAATGAACGAACTGCGTGTCTAGTAGGGTTTGCAAACAGGTCGCGGTTTTCCTCGAGGGATCTTGCAACGCCTTCAAGAGAACGGGAACAATCGCCTGAATTTCTGGATTTCGGATCACACTTCCAATTACCTTTAGGGCCTCAGCCCCTGCTTCCTGGACCTTCGTATGGGAATCACTGAGCACTTCGATCAACTTCGGCACTATGCTTGGTAGACAACTGCTCAACTGTTTAGGAGCGCAGTAAGCCATAGCTCCTAGGAGTTCGACCGAACCGGTTTTTGTTCTCCAGGAGTCCTCCTCAAGCGCTGCGAGCAAACTAGGTAGGACTAGCTTAACACCATGAGCGGATAACTTGCTCATCACAACCCTTGCGGTGTCATCCGTAGCAGCCCGAACGTACTGGCTCGAGTCCCCGAAGCAAAGTAGGAGGTGCGGTAAGACATGGACAATATAAGGCTCGAAAAGTCTCCCAAGCATCATGCAAAGCATTTCGAACGCGAAGAGCGCGCCCTCCCGGTGTCTATAGTTCTTTTTGTCCTGTATCGCATTTGTCAGGGTGGTCATAATATCCAGTTGTTTAAGAGCTAGAATTCCCATTCCCTTGATGAGTCCGGCGAGTCCATAGGCGGCTCCCTTTCGCTCTCCGTATTTATCCGACTTCAACAGCTGATCCATAAGCTTATCGACAATCTTCGGCGCGTCCTCCTTTATCGACGGGACCAAATGCGGCAGACAATTAGCCACCGCCTCTTGCACCTGCTGCGAAGGGGTCGACAATGCCGCTATCAGCCTCATCACGATTGGTTTTATCCTCGCGTCGTCTTTCTCCAAATGTCTTGCCAACGATCCCATCAATATCACCACCGACTGTTTTATCGAATCGAAGCTCCCAATCTTCGGCGCCTTGTCCATAAAGTCCTCGAACACCGGCAAGAGGGACGTGATATTAGCTTTGCCGTGTAGATCAACACTCGCGACCGCGGCCGTTAGCATCTCGTTCCTAACACTTGGATTACGATCTCCAAGACCCGTAGAAACGAAAAATTGCACCAATCGCTGAATTGTAGCCGAAGTTAGGAGTGGAGCTAGCTGCGCCAAAGCCAACGCGACTCCCCGTCTAGGCTCCCAGGTATCTATTGGTTGCTCCACAATCCTTCCAAAGTCGTTCAACTTCGGCGGTATCATCGTCAGTCGCTCTTGGTAGAGTTGTAGTAACTTCTCCAGGATATCGGGCATTAGCTCCGGATCGCGAGTCAGTAGTTCCGCTAAGGCACAAGCGGAGGCTTGCTGTATCGGCTCAACCGGGTGCGCTACGTCTTCTATCAAACCACTGCAGAGAACATCACTTTTCGCCACTAAGCCCGCCTTCTCCCAAAGCTCATCCGCGAGCAGTTTGTTCTCCTCCGAAACATCTGATTTCGCGATCCAGATTCTTTTCGTGAGTCTCAACATTTCGGACGAGTTGACATTTGACGACTCGTGAGAGAAGGATTTATGAACCACGAGGAGTCCGCGAAGAGCCGCGTCCCTGACGACTGGGAGCGCATTCTGTAGAGCGCCAGTTAGGGACCCGATTTCTTCGCTTGTCGCAAAGGTCCAAGAATCTTCACCGCTGGCACTGTGCGCGACGTCCAGGAGCGTAGCAACCGCGTGGGTCTGGACCCGTCCGGTCGTGGTACTCATTAGATCGATCAAGAGATCGAAGATCTGTTTCCTGGGGAGGAGATTCGAGTGCCTTGGGTCTTTTCGATTAGATGACTCTCCTCGCTGTTTGGCCTGATCCTGGATAATCTGGAGACCTTGCGTAATCATTGTGTCGTCCTTACAGTCCAGGAGGGTCTTGTTAAGGAACGGGAAACAGTAGCAAAAGGCCGGAGCGGTGAATAGTTGCTTCTGCTTCACGATACAATGGTGCAATTGCTGGAGACTTCGCTTAATAGCCTTGTCTAGCGGTTCTTCCTCCCAAGACGGTTCTAAATCGCACTGCGGCTCCTGCTGTCTCAAGATTACGTGCGCTATCAAGTCCGCTAGCGTCGGGGTTGATATCGCAACTGTTCGCTTTAGCAAAAGGAATATTTCGACCATCTTCGGCGCCGCTAGGGGTGAGACAAGATTCTTCAAAATCCCCGGTAGCAGATCCTTCAAATAAAGGGCGAGTTCGTCCCGATTTCCGCTCATGAGGCCCGAGACTAAACTGACGACATCCTTGATTTTGGCATTCAGGACCGAAAGTCGTTTTCTAGTCGCGGACTCTTTGGCGAATTGTAACTTCATCGCCTCCTCTTGTTTGGGAGTCAGCTTCGGCTCCTTTATCTTACCTTCCTTCTTCTGTTTTTCGTACAACTCGCGCCGAAGTTGTAGCTCCTCCTGCTGCTCCTTGAACGAGTAGACCTTACTCTCGCGCTTCATGTTCATTGATGTTAGGATATCGTCATCATTTCCGGGTAACACACTCTTGTCATACAACTCCCCCTCGGGTGTCAAGTACGTAAAATACTCATCCTTAGTGATTCGCAAAATCTCCGGATCTTGCAACTTCCCCACTATTGCCTTTACCAAACCGGGTAGTATCATATCCGGCGAGGTTTTCACAATCCTAGCGAGGGCGTTCTCATAACTAGCGTTCGGTTTATACTGCTCTGTGAATAGGTTTCTGACTTCCTTACCAGATAGCTTCAAAAACTCCTCGACGCTAAACCCAAAGTTCTTGAGGATTTTGAACCAGACGTTAGGGTTCGCTCTCAGGACCGCGGGATGATGGGAGGAGATAAGGGAGTCTTTGATCAACTGCAAAGCCGGTTGGGGGAAGAGAAAAGAGCCGGAGCAAAGCGCTAGGAGACCGTCCGCTAAGGCTCGGGCGCTAACTTCACCCTCTTCTTTCTCGTCTCTATTTCCCTCTAGTTTCGAATTCTCCAAAAGTCTATCAAACTCCCCAAGAAGAGACTTGGCCGTGTCGTAATTACTCAGCCCGGTAAGGATCTTCTTGGCCAGGGGGGCGCAACGTCTTCGGGTCGACGACTTCCCGGCGGTTAGGCAAACGACTATCGATCTATAGATTCCGGTTAGTGATCGTTCGTTCAACTTGTCGCCGAATTCGCTCATGAGTCTCTCGCACAATTGCATCAGGTAGAAGAGATTTTCGTCACTACCGCTCGCGAGGTATTTCTCCGAGAAAAAGATCTGATCGTCAATCGTGTTCCAAAGGACAGAGGACTTATCGTTCTCGACATGGGACAGTAATTTTAGGAGCAAATAAGAAGCGACGACGCCTTCGGTCACGGCAGTGGGTTGAGCGCTTTGTTGCGAACTCCTCGAGATCGCTTGTATCAACAGTGGCGCAATCACCCCTAGGGAATTAATCGGCGAAGTAAAGAACATCTTAATATAAGCCGTTCTTACCCCCGCGGTTGATGTCTTACCCCCCATTCCAAATTTAAATATCTCGATCAAATTCTTCGGTATTTCATTCACGAACTTATTCGACCAGAGTGTTAGCATTTCAATACCGTGAATTAGAGTTTTCTCATGCACTTCGGTCTTTAGAATGTTTATAAAGTACTCACAGGCAATTGAGGAGAGCTTTTCGACACTACTTCCACTTACGGAATTGTAACTCAAATTACCGGCGCCTTGGAGAACGGAAATTTTGTGAGTGGCTACGGTGAGTTTGCCCTCGGAGCCATTGAATACGGCGAAGATTGAGGAGAGAAGGGATTCGACTGCTGATGAATCGGAGCATTGAAGAGCTAGGCGACGGCATGCGTCGGCGGCTTCGTCACGAACCAGGTCCTCTTTGGAATGAAGATTGGCGAATAGTCCCTTACTGATGTCCTGACTGTAGCGACTTAGGTCGAGACTGAGACCGGTGAGAATGTGACCGACGGATTCGATTATTATTTCTGGATTTCGAAGCATTGCTTTCTGCAGAGCGGGAAGAAGATGGGTTTTGAAATCGTCGTGTGTTACTCGATGGAGAAATGGTATGGCCTCGTCGACTACGTATAATTCCGGTTTTTTCTTGCAACTGATGCAGACTTTTATGAATGAATCGAGAATTCCGTTCTGAAAACAAGACAAGATAAATTAACTTATAAATAACTTTATAAACTGTAAACATTCTAGATTGTTGCTGGGATATTGCTGAACAACATCCTGAAGAATAAAAAACTTTATTGGAACTTTTAAACGGTTTTAAATAAAAGTAACCACAGCCGCCGATCAGCAGAAGATCAAAATTGGCATAAAAAGAAGTTTAAATTTGTTTCTTTAAAATTTTAATAATTTTTATGGACTGCAAACAATCTAGATTGTTGCTGGAATGTTGCTGAACAACATCCTGAAGAATAAAGAATTTTATTGAAACTTTTAAACACTTTTAAAAAAGTAACCACAGCCGCAAACCAACAGAAGATCAAAATTGTCATAAAAATAATTTTAACTTAAATTCTTTTTTATTAACCACCTGTGGCGAGATTTTTTAAAAATTGGAATTCCCAGTCAATTTTATAAAATTTTCCGAACAAATTTTGTCAACAAATAAACACTTTTATTGTATTATTTTTTAAATGATCAAGAATGAGAAGGAAAATGCATAAAGACAAACAAATGAATTCTCTATATTTCTATAACAACAGTTTAGTAATTTAAATTCTGTTTTGGTTTTTTTGCCTTTTTTCAAATTGCTTCTAAAAATTCAATTATTTTTATAAATACTAAAATACTTGTGAGGAATTTAATTATTTTTAAAACTAATAATAGCAATCTAATTTTATTTTCGTAAAATTGTTAAGCAGATGTTAAATTAAATTATTTTCAAAATTTAGAAGTAAAATTCTTCATAATTAAATTATTTTTAAAATTTAGAATGAAAATTCTTCATAATTCAATTATTTTCAAAATTTAGAATAAAAATTGTGCAAAATTTACAAGTAAAATGCTACAAAAAACAATTATTTTCAAAATTTGGAATTAAAATTCATCAGAATTGAATTATTTTTCAAACTTTGAATTACTTAAAATTTTAAATATTTTAAAAACTTGGAAGCAAGTTATTATATAATAATTATAATTATTATATAAATTACCTTTTATAAGTATAGTAAAAACGAAATAGATTTGAATAATTTTTGTGTTGAATTACCTTGAGTTTCTCTACAATTTCCTCCTGCTTGCTCTCAACTAAATATTTTGTGAGAAGACTGGCGAGGACAATAACTCCATTGCTTGCCTCTAGTTTAGAGAGATTTTCCACATACTTCTCTTGAATGCCATTAATTCCACTCCATTGATGGACAAAGAGTGTGAAGACTTTCTTGGATAATTTTCGATCCCTTGACGCTAAGGCTGCAGCGCTCAAATTGGCCTGGGCTTCAATTAATTTTAATAAATCTGAGGAATTGTTCTCGATTCCCTTGCCAATGCCATGATGAATGATCAATGTACTCCATTTTAATGCAAGATAAGCAGTAAGCGATGTGTTATGCCTAAAAGGAAAATATAATTTTCAAAATCTAGAATTAAAATTCTCTAAATGAATCGAAATTTAAATTAAGTTAAAAAAAATGTTTATGTAGTAAAATTTTTGTTTTAATATTGAAAAATTGAAATGAATATTTATGCGCAACTTACGTTGGAACAACATTTTTGTGCCAATGTGATTGTTCACAAATGACACTCGTCATATTTTTCACAGCAGCTTCCGATTGTTCTTTCAACAATGAGATTATCAAATTTTTCACGTAGGATTGCGATGTAGTGTCTTTATATCGATGTAAAGTAATTGCAATGACTTTACATATTCCGCCCACGATTTTCTCGTTGATGCCTTTAAAGCGAAAAAAAACAAACAGATTAAAGGAAATTATTTGTAAACAATTTTTATATTATTCACCAAAATTACAATATTTTATTCTATATTTACTTTTATTATTAATTACTTCACTTTATAACTAATTACATTCATTTATAAATATTTTTTTTAAATTAATAATTATTAATTTCCATAAATGTTTATTTATTTTTATTTATTTAATTACTTTTTTTATTAATGTTTTATTTTTAATTATTCTTGCTATTAATTATTTATCTATATTATTTACTCCTGTTATTAATTATTTATTCTTATAGTCAAATATTTATTTTTTTAATTCATATTATTATTATTATTATTATTATTATTATTATTATTATTATTATTATTATTATTTCTTTCTTATTAATTATTTATTTTTACAATTTATCATTATTTATTGTTACTGTTAATTATTTTCAAACTTTGGAATTAAAATTCATCAGTAAAATTCTTCAAATTTCAAATTATTTTTAATTTAAAAAAATTTTTTTTTTTTAATTTTTCTTTATTTAATTTTTTATTGAATTAAAATTCTTGAAAATTCAATTATATTCAAAATTTACAATTAACATTTTGAAAACTTCAATTACATATGTACTTTTAAAATTTCGAATTAAAATTTTAGGAAATTCTAAATATTCTAATTATTTTTCCATTTTTGAATAAAAATTCTAAAAATTTCAATTATTTATAAAATTTTGAATTAAAATTCTTTAAATATCAATTATTTTCAGAATGTCGAAAAAAATTCTTGAAAATTCAATTACTTTCAAAATTGAGAATTTTAATTTATCTGAATTCAATTATTTTCAAAATTTATATCTAAAATTCTTTAAATTTCAATTATTTTCAAAATATGGAATTAAAATTCATGAAAATTCAATTATTTTAAAAATTTTTTAATTAAAGTTCATCAAAATTCAATTCAATTTTAATTTAATCAAAATTCAATTCTTTAATATTTAAATTCTTCAAAATTCAATTATTTTCAAAATTTTTGAATTATATAGTTTAAAATTCATTTGTTTAAAAATTTAGAATTATAATTCTTTAAAATTCCAATTATTTATAAAATAAAAAATTAGAATTCTTTAAAATTTTCAATTAAAAATCTTCAAAGTTCAATTATTTTCAAAATTTCAAATTCTCCAAAAATTAAAATATTTTTAAAATTTACAAATAAAAATTTTTGAAAATTTAATTATATGCAATATTTTCTACTTAAATTCTTTAAAATTCATTTCTTTTCAAAATTTTGAATAAGAATTTTTGAAAATTCAAGTATTTTCAAAATTTCAAATTAAAATTCACCAAAATTTAATTACATTTCAAAATTTACAAATAAAAATTTTTAAAAATTCAATTCTATTCAATGTTTTCAATTTAAATTCTTTAAAATTTATTTCTTTTTAAAATTTAGAAATAAAAATTTTTGAAAATTCGATTATATTCTATATTTTTAATTTCAATTATTCTCAAAATTTAAAATTATAATTTTTCAAAATTCAATAATTTTTAAAATATTTAAATTATTTATTTATCAAAATTTATTTAATTGTAATTATGTATTCAAAATTTAAGATTAAAATTCTTGAAAATTCAATTATTTTTAAAATTTTTAATTATAATTCTCCAAGATTCAATTATTTTCATAATTTTTTATTTTAATTCTTCAAAATTCAATTAATTTTCATAATTTTGGAATTATACCTATTGTTTAAAATTTTGTTGTTTAGAAAAATTTATAATTATAATTCTTTAAAATTCAATTATTTACAAAATAAAATTTTAAAATTTCTTAAAATTTTAATTATTTTTTAATAATTTTTAATTAAAATTCTTCAGAATTCAATTATTTTCAAAATTTTTAATTTAAATTATTCACAAATTCAGTTTTTTTGAAAGTTTAGAATTACAATTCTTCTAAAATTCAATTATTCTCACAATTTAGAATAAGAATTCTTAAAAATTTTAATTATCTTTATAATTTTTAATTTTAATTCTTCAAAATTCAATTATTAATTAAAAATATTATTTATTATTTTTTTTTTTCGAGAATGTTTCGAAAAGCACACTGTAAAAAAAAATTTCTGTAGATTTACAGTTTTGTTTAGAATTTTATAAAAATTTGTAAAATAACTTCTTTAAAAGTAGTGAATTTAAAATCCCTTCTGTAAAATTAATACTTTTAATGTGTCAATTTTACAATTTTCTGTAAATTTACTACTCTGAATGAAGGTAATAAAAAGACAAAAATATTACCTACATTCAGAGTAGTAAATTTACAGAAAATTGTAAAATTGACACATTAAAAGTATTAATTTTACAGAAGGGATTTTAAATCCACTACTTTTAAAGAAGTTATTTTACAAGTTTTTATAAAATTCTAAACAAAACTGTAAATCTACAGAAATTTTTTTTTACAGTGCAGACAAAACGATGAAAGAGGTTAAAAAATATCGCAAAGAATCATCTGTCACTCACACTTTAAAAAAACAAACTTTTCGAAACAATGAAAATTCCCAACAATTGTTTTTTTTCAATTTCAAAAAAAAAAACAAAAATCAATTCTACAAGTTAAACGAATTCCCAAAAAAGAAAATATGAATTTCACCCTTTTTTCAAAATAATAAACTCTTCCCCTTTGGATTTTGCCATCACATACACAAACAGCTGACCCGGAATGTTAAGGAATTTGCGATAAAAAAAAGTTTTCACGGTAAAAAGAAAGAAAACGAAAAAACGTTCACAATTTTGTCACACGATGATTTTATTTTTATTTTTTGACGAATTAGAAATGAAAATGTCAAAATAGTGGATAGAAAAAAAGAAAAGAAAAATAAAATAAAAACTCACCAGGATTTGACAACACGTTGACGACATTCTGAAGAATTTCTCGTCGTTCATTTTTACTTGCGGTTTGAACACGATTCGGTAGATCTTTTAATGCGTTCGTTAACTATAATGAAAAAATCCAGTTAATGTTAATAATTTTCACAGTAATTTGTTAAATAATTCCTTCTCCACGTGACAGACTTACCTCAGTAACCGCCATATTTTTACGAAAAACCGGGGAAAACAGATAAAATAGACAAGACAAATGTCCACGTCAATTAAACCCGTCTGAAGTTGGTCACTGAAAAGTTGGTTTCGATATATCGAAGTGTGTTCGTAGGCGCGCCGCCAGATGGCTTCGATTTTTAATAAAAATAAATACAAAAATAAATAGAAAATAGGAGTTTATTTTATAAATAAAAAGGAAAGGAAATAAATTCTATTGTTTTAAGGAAAAAAAGAGAAAAGATCGATTTAGAAAAACGGAATAAAAGAAAAGTAGAAAATAAGAATTTAAACTCGTCCCGCGCTTGCGCGGCGGACTTTTTGTCCAAAAAAAACTTTCCACACAGACTGTACTTGTTGTTCTCTCTTCGTTACTCTTCGTGTTCGTTGATTCGTTCTTCGTTTTCGTCACTTTTCGTCGCGTAGTTTATCGAATTTTACCCCTCGAAAAAAATATCTTTTTTTCTATTTTCAAAAAAAGAAGTGTCAAATGTCAAAAATCAAAAAATAGGAAAAATTGTGAGTTGAATAAATAGTGTGATGTCCCAGCACGCGTTCATACAAAAAAGGTTTATCCCGGTACCACCTGAAAAGGGCAGTTTCCCACTGGATCATGAAGGGCTTTGCAAAAGTTTAATGATTAAATATATGCGTTGTCTTGTCGATAATAAAAATGATTCTGGATTGTGTCGAAATGTTACACAAGATTATCTCGAGTGTCGAATGGATAATAATCTCATGGCACGTGAAGAATGGTCTAAACTCGGTTTCACTGAACAGATGAAAAAGGAAACGTAATGACACATTGTTTTCTCTCTTCATTCAACGAATATACTTATTATATATATATATTTCAAAGACAGCAGACAAAAAGAGATATCCTTTTAAATATATACTTAACTATTATAAAAAATAAAATCAGAAATTTCGAGAACTAGAAGAAAAGATTAAAAAAGAAAAAAAAATCATCGACGAATCTATTTTCGAAAGAGAAAAAAAATATATTTCAGTAAATCGTGTTATTGTAGTAGAGAATTATATATATACATACGTACTGCGCAAATCACTGCAAAATAGTTCGAGAAAGGTTAGAAAATTTTGATTATATTTATTTGTTTGTTTATATATTTTTGTTTTTTAATTTTTTCGAAAATTCAATTATTTTTAGTATTTTCAATTAAATATCTTTAAAATTCAATTATTTTTATAATTTAGAAATAAAATTCTCTCAAATTCAATTATTTTCAGAATTTATACATAAAAATTCAATTATTTTCAATATTTTCAATTAAATTTTTTCAGAATTCAATTATTTAAAAAATTTACAAAAATAATACTTTTGAAATTTCAATTTTTTCTAAATTTGGATTTAAAACTTTTGAAAATTCAATTATTTTTAATTGTTTTAGTGAAAATTCTACAACATTCAATTATTTTTAGTATTTTCAATTAAATATCTTTAAAATTATATTATTTTCATAATTTAGAAATAAAATTCTATCAAATTCAATTGTTTTCAGAAATTATACATAAAAAATCAATTATTTTCAATATTTTCAATTAACTTTTTTCAGAATTCAATTATTTTCAAACTTTGCAATTAATATTTACGAAATTACAATTTGTTTCTGAATTTGCATTTAAAATTTTTTAAAATTCAATTATTTTTAAAATTCGCAATTACTTTTAACCAAAATTTAATTATTTTCAGATTTTATAAATAAAAATTCAATTACCTTCAATATTTTCAATTAAAGTTTTTTAAAATTCAATTATTTTCAAAATCTACAAATAATACTTTCGAAATTACAATTTTTTTTCTAAATTTGCATTTAAAAATTTTGAAAATTCTATTATTTTTAATTTTTTTGGTTAAAATTCTTCACAATTCAATTATTTTAAAAACTTAAAAATAAAATTCTCCTTAATTCAATTATTATAAAACTTCTGAATTTTAAATTCATCAAAAATTCAATTATATTCAATTTTTTTTATTAAAATTCTTAAAAATTCAATTTTTTTGAAATTACATATTAAATTAGAATTCTACAAAATTAAATTATTATCATAATTATGAATTAAAATACTTCAAAAATTAAATTATTTTCAAAATTTACTAAATAAAAATTTTTGAAAATTTAATTATTTTCAATGTTTTTAATTTAAAATCTTTTAAAATTCAATTCTCTTCAAAATTATGAATCAGAATTATACAAAATTAAATTATTTTTTAAATATTAACTTCAAATTCTTCAAAATTCTAATAATTTGCATAATATTTTATTTAAATTTATCAAAATTAAATTATTTTTTTAATTTACAAATAAAAATTTATTAGAATTAAATTATTTTCAAAATTTAGAATTAAAATTCTTCAAAATTCAATTTTTTAATTTACAAATAAAATTTTTTTAAAGTCAATTATGTTACAAATTTTTAAATAAAATTCTTCAAAATTCAATTACTTGCCAAATTTGTGATTAAAACTAATCAAAATTTTTATTATTTTCAAAATTTAAATGTAAAATTCTTTAAAATTTTAATTATTTTCTAAATTTAGGATTAAATTTTTTAAAATTCAATTATTTTCTAACTTTCGAATAAGAATTTTACGAAATTCAATTATTTTTAAAACTTACAAATAAAATTTTTTGAAAATTCAATTATATTTAATATTTTCCAATTAAATTATTTAAAATTCAATTCTTTTAAAAATTTCGAATGAGACTTCTTTTAAATTTTAAATTACTTGGGAATTTTCAATCAATATTCTTCAAGACTCAATTATTTTCAATATTTTTAATTTTAAATCTTTTAAAATTCAATTCTTTTCAAAATTTAGAAACGGATTTTTTCAAAATTCAATTATTTTTAAAATATTGAATTAAAATTTTTCAAAATTTATTTATTTTTCCAAAATTTAAAATTAAAATTTTCTAAAATTTAATTATTTTCAAGATTTAGAATTAAAATTTTCTAAAATTCAATTATTTTCAAAATTTAAAAATAAAAATTGCAGAAAATTCTATCATTTTTAATATCTTTTAATTGAAATGCTTAAAATTTTTGAGAATTAATTTATTTTCCAGATTTCTTGAAAATTGGAGTATTTACAGAATGATAAATTAAAATCTTTCAAAATTGTATATTTTTTGCCAAAGTTTGCAATTAAAATTGTTAAAAATTCAAAATATTTCTAAAATTTTGAAAAGAACTGAAATATTTTTCAAACAATTTCAATTAAATTCCTTATAATTCTTATTCGAAGAATTATTTAATTATTCTCAAAATATTAATAAATTTTTTTTTGAAGAATACAATTTTCAATAATTTAAACAAAATTCTATTATTCAAGAATTAAATTATTTTTTATTCAAAATTAAAAGCGTTACAAAGATTATATGATTTTTATTTGACATAAATATTATTTTTTAAAAATTTGTAAAAAAAAACGTAACAGCAAAATTGTAGAAAATAAGAAAGTTTTAAAAATTTTTTCTTGACTGAATTCGAATATTTTTGCAAAAATAGTAAAAATTGCAAAAATAGGAACACATAAAAATATTTTCCTCACATTTTTTGCGATTAATTTTAAAAAAATTTCTTTTTATTTCAGATTATAAATTGGAGTTTCGGTACACACAAAAAAAAACGGGCATATCAACAAGCAAAGGGCCAATTTTTTTCCTGACAAAAAACTGCCAATTTTTCGAGAGTTTTGACCAACAAAAAGAAAAGAAGAAGACTTATTTTTATTATCGCATTTTCTTGTTGATTGTTTTTTTGCATTTGTCTCGACACTGCCGACGAGGAGCAATTTTTCCATTTTCTTTTTTTTGTCGAGAAAGAAGAAGAATTTTTTCTGTAAAAAACGAAAATTACAAATTTCGAGTCAAGAAATTTGCAAAAAAAAGAACAAAAAAAATTTAGAAGAATAATTGCAAATTGCAAAAGAAAAACAAAAATCGAAGAATAATTGGAAATTGAAAACAGTGAAGAGAATTAGAAGAAAAATATTGCTAACAGCGAAGGAATTTAGAAGAATAATTTGACAATTGTAGAGAAAATTTTAGAAGAAGAATTTGCCAGTTGCGAAGAAAATTTAGAAGCAAAATTTATCAACTGCAAAAAAAAAATTTAGAAGAATTTTCCAGTGGCAAAAAAAAATTTTAGAAGATAATTTGCTTGCAGAGGAAATTTAGAAGAAGAATTTTTTCTGTTGTAGAAAAGAATTAGAAAAGAATTACAAGCAAAAAGAGTAAATTTTAGAAAAGAGCAAGTAGATAAATATTTGTTAATTAATTGTTAATAAAAACGAGACTGGATTGATTTTTTGTTCTCCCATTGAAACAAAAGAATGGCATGCACGTCGCGAAAGAAAATTTTGATCGGCTGCACGGGTAGTGTTGCAACGATAAAACTGCCGCAATTGGTTGATAAATTGTGGCAGCACAATTACGATATTCGAGTTGTGGTGACGGAGAGGGCGAAGCATTTTCTCAAGGATGTTAAACTGCCGATTGGAACGCAAGTACTTTCGGACACCGTTGAATGGGCCGCATGGCAGGATCGTGGCGATCCAGTTCTACACATTGACTTAGTTAAATGGGCCGATTTATTTCTAATAGCGCCATTAGATGCCAATACGCTTGGTAAATTAGCGAGCGGTATTTGTGACAATATATTAACGTGCGTTGCACGCGCTTGGGATCCCAATAAACCCCTTTTATTCTGTCCAGCGATGAACACCAGAATGTGGAATCATCCCGTTACTGAACCTCAAGTAAGGAAATGTTTTGAGAAAAATTTATTTTTCTATTCTGGCCTTCCTTGGATTCTGTGACTTTTATTTTGAATATTATCACAAAAGAAATCGATTTTTACGATTTATTTTCGAAAAAAGCGATTTCTTTCTATTATTTTTACAAAAAAAAGTCGTTTTTCCGACGATTTTTGATTTATTTTCTAAAAAAAGCGATTTTTTAAAATAATTTAAAAATAATTCGAAAATAGTCTGAAAAATCGACTTTTTTTTAAAAACAATAATTATTGTTTTTAAAAAAAATCGATTTTTCAGACTATTTTCGATTTATTTTCGAAAAAAAGGATTTTTACGACTATTTTCAATTTATTATCGAAAAAAGCAATTTCTTTCGATTATTCACAAAAGAAAATCGTTTTTCCGACGATTTTTGATTTATTTTCTTATAAAAAGCGTTTTTTGAAAATTATTCATAAAAGAAAATCATTTTTCAGACTATTTTTGATTTATTTTCTAAAAAAAAGCGATTTTTTAAAATAATTTAAAAATAATTCGAAAATAGTCTGAAAAATCGACTTTTTTAAAAACAATAATTATTGTTTTTAAAAAAAGTCGATTTTTCAGACTATTTTCGATTTATTTTCAAAAAAAAGGATTTTTTACGACTATTTTCAATTTATTATCCAGAAAAAAGCAATTTCTTTCGATTATTCACAAAAGAAAATCGTTGTTCCGACTATTTTTGATTTATTTTCAAAGAAGCGATTTTTTACGACTATTTTCAATCTATTATTCAGAAAAAAAAGCTTTTTTCTAATTATCCACAAGAGAAAGTCGTTTTTCCGACTATTTTCGATTTATTATCTAAAAAAGTGATTTTTCAAAATTATTTTAAAAAAAGTCGATTTTTCAGACTATTTTTGATTTATTCTCGAAAGAGCGATTTTTTAAAATTATTTTTTAAAAAAAGTCGATTTTTCAGACTATTTTCGATTTATTTTGGAAAAAAAAGGATTTTTTAGGACTATTTTTAATTTATTATCGAGACAAGCAATTTCTTTCGATTATTCACAAAAGAAAATCGTTTTTCCGACTATTTTTGATTTATTTTCTAAAAAAAGCGATTTTTTAAAATTATTTTTAAGAAAAGTCGTTTTTTCAGACAATTTTTTATTTATTTTCAAAAAGCGATTTTTACGACTATTTTTAATCTTATTATCCAGAAAAAAGGTTTTTTCTAATTATTTACAAAAGACAGTCCTTTTTCCGACTATTTTTGATTTATTTTCTAAAAAAAGCTATTTTTTAAAATTATTTTTAAAAAAAATCGACTTTTCAAACTATTTTTGATTTATTTTCAAAAAAGCGATTTTTACGACTACTTTTAATCTATTAATCTTTTAATCTATTTTCGAAAAAAACCAATTTTTATATCTATTTTGAAAAAATATCGATTTTTCAGACTATTTTTGATTTATTTTCGAAAAAAAAGATTTTTTACGACTATTTTCAATTTATTCTCCAGAAAAGCAATTTCTTTCGATTTTATTTGAATCGAAAATAATTGAATTATGTAGAAATTTAAATTTAAAATTTGAAAATAATTGATTTTTTCAAATTTCAATTGAAAATTTTAAAATTAATTGAATTATGGTGAAATTTAAATTTAAAATTTGAAAATAATTAATTTTTTTAAAAATTTTAATTGAAAATGTAGAAATTAATTGAATTAGGACGATTTTAAATTGAAAATTTTGAAATTAATTGAATTATTGAAAATTTTATTTAAAATTTTGAAAATAATTGATTTTTTAAAAATTTTAATTGAAAATATAGAAAATAATTTAATTAGGACGAATTTAATTTGAAAATTTTGAAATTAATTGAATTATTGAAAAATTGTATTTAAAATTTTGAAAATAATTGAATTATTGAAAAATTTTATTTAAAATTTTAAAGATAATTTAATTTTTAAGAATTTTAATTGAAAATGTACAAAATAATTTAATTATGACGAATTTAAATTGAAAATTTTGAAATTAATTGAATTTTTGAAGAATTTTATTTAAAATTTTGAAAATAATTTAATTTTTAAGAATTTTAATTGAAAATGTACAAAATAATTGAATTAGGATAAATTTTAATTGAAAATTTTGAAAATTTTTTAATTTTTGAAAAATTTGAATTCAATATTTTAAAAATAATTGAAAAAATTTAATCGAAAATATTGAAAATAATTGAATTTTTATTTATGAATTTGGAAATTAATTTAATTTTGGTGACTTCTATATTTTAATTTAAAAAAAAAATTGAAATTCTAAAAGTATTAATTGCACATTTTAAAAATAATTTAATTCTTGAAAAATTTTAATTCAATTTTTTTTTTAATTGAATTTTGAAAAACTCTGATTTTAAGCTTTGAAAAAAATTCAATTTTAAAGAATTTTAATTCTAAATTTTAAAAAGAATTAGAATTTTGAAGAATTTGAATTCGATATTTGAAAAAAAAATTGAATTTTGTAAAATTCTGATTCTTAATTTTGTAATTTTAAAAGATTTTAAAATGAAAATGTTGCAAATAATTGAATTTTAGAAAATTTTGAAAATAAATGAATCTTGAGGAATTTTAATTGAAAATATTGAAATTGATTGAATTATGGAAAAATTTATTTTTAAATATTGAAAATAATTGAATTTTTAAAAATTTTAATTGAAAATATTGAAAATAATTGAATTTTTATAAATTTTAAATTGAGAATATTGAAAATAATTGAATTTTTTAAAATTTTAATTGAAAATATTGAAAATAATTGAATTTTTAAAAATTTTAATTTTAAACATTGATAATAATTGAATTTTTGAAAATTTTAATTGAAAATATTGAAAATAATTAAAATATGAAACATTTTTATTGAAAATAATTGAATTTTTGATGAATTTAAAATTCACAATTTTTATAATAATTGAATTAAGGAGAACTTTATTTTTAAATTTTTTAAATAATTGAATTTTTAGGAATTTTAACCAAAAAAATTAAAAATAATAGAATTTTCAAAATTTTTGAATGCAAATTTAGAAAAAAAATTGAAGTTTCAAAAGTATTACATATTTGTTTATTTTGAAAATAATTGAATTTTCAATTTTTAAAATAATTAAATTATGAAGAATTTTAACCAAAAAATTTGAATTTTGAAAAGTTTTTAAAATTTTAAAGATAATATAACTGCAAAATTGAGACAAAATGAAAAAAGAAACAGAAAGATTATCCCATCAAATAACTGAATTTCAAAGACGTAAAATATCACTCTACTAGAAATAAGAAGTTAAAATTTTTTTTTTGAAAAAAAACCTTATTTTCTTCTTCTTTAAAGGTTTCTCTGCTCAAGTCCTGGGGGTACAAAGAAGTCAGCTGCATTTCAAAAACTCTAATGTGCGGTGACACTGGAATGGGCGGAATGGCGGAAATTGATACCATTGTACAGATGACGATACGTTCTCTAAATCCCTGGGATCCCTACTCACCACCCCATTTAAAGCGTTAGCATTGTTCTTAAAAAGAAAATAAATAACTGAATAAATAAATAAATAAATAATAAATACAAAATACAAAAAATATAAAAAATGTTGCGCATGCCAAGATGTTATATATTACAAAAAAAAACTAAGAAAGAAATGAATAAAATGAGTTAATTGTGTTCAAATTCAACGTTTCGTTAATTTCTCTCCTTGTCCAAACTTTAATTATTATTATTATTATTAATTATTAATAAATACTAATTATTATTATTAATTACGTACATTTTTTGAAAATTTTACCCCCTCCCCTAAATTTTATTACATTAGCGCCATTTTTTCTATTGGCCTCCCCATTAAAACCTTATTTAATTTATATTAAAAAATTTCGTCAATAAAAATAAAATAAAAAATTTTTTTTATTATTATACGAATTATTTTACAAAAACGAATTTTTATTACAAAATAATTAAAATACAGACGATTTTAACAAAAATGAAAATATTATTTTGCTTTGACAGAAAATCAAAATATTGTTAAAAATAATAAAATTATTAATTAAATACTAAATTAAAAAAATGAATTTTAATACTTTAGACTATTAGAAAATAAAGATACATTCAATATTGTTAAATATTTTTATTTTCTAGATCATATTCTTGCTAAAAAGTGAATTGCAATTTTCAGACGAGTGAATATGCATTAATAACAAAGTTCGATAGTAAAAAGTTAAAAACTGTCAATGAAGTTGTCTATCTAGTGAAATCGTTACTTCTATGGTTGTAATGAGTTGACAAAAATCGAAAACAAAAGTAGTGTCAAAATAAGGTTTTTCTTAATGACTGTGTTGGAAAATTTAACCGAAAAAAGTAGAATTTCTGAAAAAAGTGTCAAAGAAAGCTCGTCTTTAATGACTGTGTTGGAAAATTTAACCGAAAAAAATAGAATTTCTGAAAAAATGGCGAAAAAAGGTTGTCTTTAATGACTGTGTTGGAAAATTTAACCTAAAAAACTAGAAATATTGACATAAAATTTTTCTATTTCCTTTATATACTTAAATAAACTATTTATTATATATAAACTATTTATCTCAAATAAACTTATTTTATTTATTCTTTCACTTATTATATATTTTTTTTCCTTAAATTCTGATTTTTAATTTTGAAAATAATTCAATTTTGAAGAATTTAAATTGAAAATGTGTGAAATTAATTTAATTTTGAAGAGGTTAAATTGCAAATTTTTAAAAGAATTGAATTTTGCAAAAGTTTAATTACAAATTTTGAAAACAATCCACTTTTGAAGAATTTTAATAAAATGCAATTTATTATTAAATATTTAAATTGAAAGTAATTAAATTTTGCAGAATTTCAAGTGTAAATCTTTAACATGATTGCATCTTGAAGAATTGTAATTTAAAATATTAAAAATAATTAAATTATAGAAAATTTTAATTTTAAATTTAGAAAATAATTGTATTTTGAAGAATTTTAATTGAAAATGTTCAAAATAATTGAATTCTGAAAAATTTTAATTGCAAATTTTTTAAATAATTCAATTTTCGAAAAACATTAACTGTTAATTTTGCAGAATATAATTTTAAATTTTCAAAATTATAAAAATTTTGAGGAATTTCAATTAAAAATATATTTAAATAATTGAATTTTGAAGAATTTTAATTAAAAATAATTGAATTTTGAAAAATTTTAGTTTAAAATAATTGCATTTACAAAATTTCAATTGTAGATTTTGAAAATAATTGAATTTTGAAGAATTTTAATTAAAAATATTCTCTAAATAATTGAATTTTGAAGAATTTTAATTGAAAATAATTGAATTTTGATAATTTTAATTTTAAATAATTGAATTTGACAAAATTTCAATTGTAAATTTTAAAAATAATTGAATTTTAAAGGATTTTTATTTAAAATATTTATATATAATTGAATTTTGAAGAATTTTAATTTAAAATAATTGAATTTTGAAAATTTTAATTTAAAATAATTGAATCTGACAAAATTTCAATTGTAAATTTTAATAAGTAATTGCATTTTGAAGAATTTCAATAAAATGTAATTTATTATTAAATATTTAAATTGAAAGTAATTGAATTTTGCAAAATTTCAAATGTAAATTTTTAACATGATTGCGTCTTGAAGAATTTTAATTTAAAATATAAAAAATAATTTAATTATAGAAAATTTTTAATTTTAAATTTAGAAAATAATTGAATTTTGAAGAATTTTAATTGAAAATATGTTAAAATTAGTTTGATTTTGAAGAGTTTTAATTGTAACTTTAAAAAAATCAAATTTTGCATAATTTCAACTGCAAATTTTTATGACAATTCAATTATGAAGAACTTTAATAAAATGTATTTGATTTAAAAAATTTTTTAATTGGAAATAATAGAATTTTACAGAACTTCAATTGGAAATCGTGAAAATAAATGAATTTGGAAGAATTGTAATTAAAAATATTTGAATTCTAGAAATATTGTTATTAAATATTTAATTTTTCCAGATCTTATCCAAGTAAAAAAAGTGATTTGCAATTTCAAGACGTGTGAATACGCATTAATGCTAAAGTTCGGTAGTAAAAATTATCAATGAACACGCCTATCTAGTGACAACGTTACTTCTATGGTTATAATGAGTTGTCAAAAAGCGAAAAGCGAAAACAGTGTCAAAAAAGGTTTTTTTTTAATGACTGTGTTGGAAAATTTAACCGAATAAAGTAGAATTTCTGAAAAAAGTGTCAAAGAAAGGTTGTCTTTAATGACTGTGTTGGAAAATTTAACCTAAAAGAGTAGAAATTCTGGGGTCACGCTTTTTCGGACTGATTTTGACCCCCTCCCCCCCTTCGTCACATTTTTTACATACAAAAAAAAATTTTTTCCACACTTCGTCACACTCAGCTTGACACCCCCCCCCCCCACCCCTAGGAGTGTGACGTAGTTTATGAACGACCCCTCTGATTAAAATTCAGATATTAAAAAGAAAGTTTGTCTTTAATGACTGTGTTGGAAAATTTAACCTAAAAAACAAGAAATATTGACATATAAAATTTTTTTTTATTTCCTTTATATACATTCAAAAACACGTACAAAAATTCGTAAAGCGTTTTATTTTGTTTTCCTCTCAAATAAACTTATTATTTATTTTTTTTTCACTTATTATTATATATAATATTTTTGTTCCGTAGCTTATTTTTATAAAAAGTTAAATAAAAATTTATTTTTAATTTCTAACTAAAATAAAAAATACATAGTTTATTTTTCTTTCTTTTTTTTTAATATAGAAAAGAAAAGAGAAACACTATTAATTATTAATTTTCTTGAAAGTGTAATATATAAATATCACAGTTATAAAACTGACGGCAGTCATTTTTTTTGCCATTTATTTAAGTGGTCGGTTTTCTTTTAAGAGCAAAAATTATTGCATCCTTTTTTTCTTTAATTATCTCCTAAAGTCTTATGTATATTTTAAAATGCACTTAAGTTCTTTTTTTAGGAAAAAAAAGCGTGTCAGTGACTTATAGAGAAAAATGCTGTTTAGACTTATAAATAGAATTTTTATACATTCTATTTGTACTCGTAAATAGAATTTTAATCTCGATTTTAATGGCAAAAATTCTACTTATGAGTATAAATAGAATTTTCTTTTTTTATTGTGCGCTTTTTTAAAAAAAGAAATTTCGAAAAAAAGATCAATTTTGGAAAATAAACGGCTCTTAATTTGCCTTCTCTCTCGGAATGTTGCGATTCATTTCCATTTATTTCCATTTATTTCTTTTGATCTTTTTCTCCTTTTTTTTGACAATAATCGAACTTTATCGACAATTTCTTCTAATTTTACTATATTTTACTTTATTTTTCGTTACTTTATTCTTATTTACTATATTTTAATTTTTACTAAATTATAAAACTTAATAATGTCTTGAATTATTTCTAGATTATTTTTTCTAAAACAATTTCAAAAATTGTTTAATTTTAATTTTTTTTTCAGTTAATTATAATTATAAAAAATTAGAGACAAAATTTTCAGTCGTAATTGAGAATTAAAAATATATATTGCACTAAGAGTAAATTTTTTTCGTTTTGTGAAAAAAAGTAAATTTTTTTTCTTTTTGAAAAAAAGTAAATTTTTTTCTTTTCGAAAAAGAAGTAAATTTTTTTTCTTATTGATTTTTGGAAATAGTTGATAATATAAGGGAAAATTTGACGTTATAAAATATTTCTTATCATTAGATTTCGAATGAAAAGAATTGTGGTGAATGTAAGAAGGAGATAAGATAAAGACGATGTCGAGGAAACGGAGGACGAGCTGATTTTTAAATTGGTTCGTCTTCTTGGCGTCTCGTCTATATCATTTGAATCCCCATCTGAAGGGCAATTCATCCAGAAAACTGAAGACAATTTCGGTTTCTCGTGTGCCACTCTCATTCGCATATCGTCAAATTCCCAAAAGTATTTGCCTTTAAAGAAATAAGTTTTGCCTGGAAGAAAAAAAATAAAGGAAATATTAAATTAAAAAAAATTATATTCATTTCTGTTGAGAATTTTTGAATAAAATAAAGTGAAAAAAAAGTAAAAGAAAGAAATAAAATAATATTAGTAAATAATTATATAAAAAAATGTACTGTAACATATTTTACATATTAATTCCTAGGGGAATCGAACCCCCAACCGTACGATCTGATTTGAATACTTAGAAGCCTTAAGGACTTCGGCTACCGCGACTTTTTAAAATAACGAATTAAAAAAAGATAACAAAGTAAAAAAATTTTTTAAACAAATGAAAATAAATTAATAACAAAAAGGGAAACACAGTATTAAAGTAAATTCAGTAAAGTAATTAAAAAATTAAATAATTAAAGCTAACAAAATAAGGAAAAAAATAGTAAAATAAATTCAGCAAAGTAATTAAATAATTAAAGCAAAGAAATAACAATAAAAACAGTAGTAAAATAAATTCAGTAAAGTAATTAAATAATTAAATAAATAAATAATTGAAGCAAAGTAAATTAAAATTAAAAAATTAAATAATTAAACTAAAGCAAATTGAAATTAAATAATAAAATCATTTTTCAAAGAAAAAGAGCGTTCTTTATTTTAAAAACTGAATTTTATTTAAAAAATTTATTTACTTTTTTTATTTTAAACACTTTACTTTCAATATTTTATGAAAAATGTATACGTATCTTTAAATTTGAATTTCTACCAATTTTCCGTTTGAAAAACAGCGATTTGATATTTATAAAAAAAATATTATTCAAATAAAAAAGTATTAAATTCAATTATAAAAATTAAATTTTTTATTTTATTTACTAAATTCTTTTCAATTGAAAAATATCTTTAATTTTTTAATTACCATTTTTCCATTGGAAAACAGCGTCAATATCGTTACCAACACCAGCGAACATACTCATATCTCGAGGATAATCCAGTTCCACATGATTGACGGATTCATCAAATCTGCAGAAAATAGAGAGAAAAATTATTAATTAATTAATTGCAGAAAATTTTAGTTATTTAAAAACAAATTTTATTTTACATATCAAATTTAAAGAATATTTATTTAAAAAATTTGAAAATAATTCAATTTTGAAGAGTTTTAATTGTGAATTTTTAAAATAAATAAATTTTGAAGAATTTAAATGAAAAAAGTGGTTGATTTTTATAAATTCTAATGGAAAATAATTGAATTTGTCAAAATTTCAATTCTAAATTTTGAAAATAATTGAATTTTTAAAAAATTTTAACTGTAAATTTTGTAGAATTCAATTTTAAATTTTCAAATTAAGTAAAAATTTTGAAGAAGTTTAATTTAAAATATTTGTAAATAATTGAATTTTTAAGAATTTCAATTTAAATAATTGAATGTTGAAGAATTTTAATTGAAAATGTTCAAAACAATTGAATTTTAAAGAATTTATTTAATTCCAAAATTTTTTAAATAATTGAATTTTTGAAAAATTTTAACATTAAATTTTAAAGAATATAATTATAATTTTCAAAATAATAAAAATTTTGAAGAATTTCAATTAAAAATTTTTGTAAATAATTACATTTGAAAGAATTTTAATTAAAAAGAATTGGTTTTTAAAGATTTTGAAAATAATTGAATTTTGAAGAATTTTAATTGAAAAACGTTCCAAATATTTAAATTCTAAAAAATTTTAATTGCAGATTTTTAAAATAATTGTGAATTTTTGGTGATTTTAACTGAAAATTTTAAAGAATTTGATTTTCAATTTTAAAAATAATAATAATTTTAAAGAATTAAAAATTTTTTTATTCAATTTTGAAGAATTTTAATTGGAAATAATTGAATTATGCAGAATTTTATTTTAAAATAATTCAATTCTGCAGAATTTCAATTCTAAACTTTTGAAATAATTGAATTTTTAAGAATTGTAATGGAAAATATTAAAAATAATTGAATTATTTAAAATTGTTATTTTTAATTTAGAAAATAATTGATTTTTGAAGAATTGTAAATTGAAAATATTAAAAATAATTGAATTATGTAAAATTGTTGTTTTAAAATTACAAAATAATTGAAATTTGAAGACTTTTATTTGAAAAATGTTGAAAATCATCAAATTCTGAAATATGTTGATTACATTGAAAATTATTGTAATTTTGAAGATTTTGAATTGAAAAATTTTTTATAATAATTCAAATAATTATGAAAAATTTTAATTTAAAATTTCGAATATAATTGAATTTGAAATAATTTTTATTTCAAAATTTTTAAAATAATTCAATTTTGAAAAATTTGAATTGCAAATATCAAAAATAATTTAATTTTGAAGAATTTAAATTGCAAATTTCGAAAAGTAATTTAATTATTAAATTTAATGGCAAATTTTTTAAATAAAGAACGAAAAAACTTTGATGAAAATTCGAAAAAAATCCATGTAAACAGAGATAAAGAAACAAAGAAGATTTAAAATTTTCGTTTACATATTTTTGTCAAAAAGAAAAATACGAAAAAAAGAGGAAAAAATATGAGAAAAATCTGCTTTACATCAAAGAAACATTCTTGAACTGATGTGATGAATTTTTCCCTCGAAGGGAAAAAATTCCTTTCGTTCGTTTTCTATTTTTTTTTTTTTTTTTGCTTTCATTTTCTGATTTGTAATCTATAAAATACATGGAAAATGTGAATAAATAAAGTAGAAAGAAGAAGAAAAAAGAAGAAAAAGAGAAAAATCGATATTGATATTATACCTCCAGTACATAGTGCCACTGAAGAAATAAGTTCTTTTATTGTGACCCCAGACCATGGCACCATCGATTTTCTTCAAGGAAGCCGGTAAACCAAGTGAAGTTAATGGTTTTGGATAACCTGGCTCCAAAATATTTGCACTGAACACATAGTATAATCTTCCTATAAAGAAGACAATCTTTTTATCGTGACGCTCATAAACAGCGTCCACGTGATCAGTGTCCTTTGGAACATTGAACAATCGACTGATTTCCGCCGGAAAGCCTTCGTACAATCCCTGATCCCCTATTCTCCACAGGTACTGCAATAAAAATGATATAAAACTCTCTTTTTATATTTCTTTTTATTTTATATACTTCATTTTATATACGTGAATAAACATTGTTAGTGAGTCATACATTCTCTTTATTTTGTTAAATATAGTTTTATTCTTTTATGAACCACTCCTAACACTATTAATTAAATAATTAAATATAATAAAATTAAAAAATAAATTTTCATACTTTACACTATTTGAAAACAATAAAGTTATATTCAATATTGAATATTTAATATTTAAAATTCAATATTTAATTTTTACAAATTTTATCCGAGTAAAAAAATGAATTGCAATTTCGAGACTTGTGAATACGCATTAATGACAAAGTTCGGTAGTAAAAATTCTCAATGAACACGCCTATCTAGTGAAATCGTTACTTCTATGGTTGTAATGAGTTGGCAACAAGCGAAAAGCGAAAATAGTGTCAAAAAAGGTTTTTATTAATGACTGTGTTGGAAAATTTAACCGAAAAAAGTAGAATTTCTGAAAAAAGTGTCATAGAAAGCTCGTCTTTAATGACTGTGTTGGAAAATTTAACAAAAAAAACGTAAATTCTGATTTAAATTCAGGTGTGAAAGAAAGCTTGTCTTTAATGACTGTGTTGGAAAATTTAACCTAAAAAAGTAGAATTTCTGAAAAAAGTGTCAAAGAAAGTTTCTCTTTAATGACTGTGTTTGAAAATTTTACCTAAAAAAGTAGAAATTCAGGTGTTTTAACCTAAAAATTAATAAATCGTTTCTTTTCGATTAGTATCTAGAGTCAGAGTTACAAAATTTTTAGTAATTTAAAGTCCGATTATATTCTCGAGAATATTTTAAAATTTTAACTGTAATTCATTTTTAAATCAATTTTTATTCGAAAATTCTACTATGATTCAACTATTTAAATACAATAAAAAAAAATTTATTGATTGATTGAATGTTTCTTAAAATTCAATTCCCATAAAGAATGTTATCAACAAATTTTTAAATAATTAAATTCTTGAGACGAATTTTAATAAAATTTTTTAGAATAATTACATTTTTCAAGAAATTTGACTAAAAGTGTCTTAAAAATAATTACAATTCTGCAATCAGTTTTATTATTTATGAAAATAATTGAATTTCTAAAAAGAAATTTATTATTTTTGAAAATAATTGAATTTTTAAAAAAATTTTATTATCTATGAAAATAATTGAATTTCTAAGAAGAATTTTATTATTTATGAAAATAATTGAATTTCAATTTTGAAAAATTTCAATTGAAAATGTTGAAATTAATTTAATTTTGAAAAGTTTTAATTGTAAATTTTCAAAAAAATTGAATTTTGCAAAATTTTAATTACAACTTTTGAAAATAATTCAATTATAAACAATTTTAATAAAAAGTAATTGATTTTTAAAAATTTTAATTGAAAATAATTAAATTTAACTGAAATTTAATTGTAAATTTTGAAAGTAATTGAATTTTGCTGAAATATAATTGTAAATTGTGAAAATAATTGAGTTTTAAAGAAATGTATTTTGAAAATATTAAAAATAATTGAATTTTAAAGAAATGTATTTAAAAAATATTAAAAATATTTGAATTATAGAAAAATTCAATTTTAAATTTAGAAAATAATTGAATTATTCTGAATAAATTTATTAAAAAAATGGTAAATAATTGAATTCCTGTGAAATTTCTATTATTTTAGGAAAATAATTTGACGTTTGCGTAGAATTTTATTAAAATTTTTTAAAATAATTTAACTGTTTTCAAAAATTTTATTAAAATACTAGAAACCTTTTTAAAATTCAATTATTTTAAAAAGTTATTCTTTTAATATTCAATAAATAAATTGTATTAAAAATAATTAAAAATCTGCGGTGAGTCATTATTATTTATGAAAATAATTGAATCCTGTAAAAAATTTGATTATTTAAGAAAATAATTCAAATTTAATTGTAGAATTCAATTTTTCAATTTAATTTTTTTCGAAAAATTGTCTTTTTCTATTTCATTAATTAATTTTAATTGAAGAATTTAATTTTTTTATTTAAATAATTGAATTTTTCTATTCAATTAATTTAATTTTTATTGAAGAATTCAATTTTTCTATTTAAATAATTTAAATTTAAATCTATTTAAATAATTCTCGAATTCTCGAAGAAATTTTGAAGAATTCTTCAAAATAATTAAATTTTTATTGAAAATTGAAATTATTCCTTTTAATTAATTGAATTTTTATTGAAGAATTGAATTTTTCTATATAAATAATTGAATTCTTGAACAAATAATGAAAAATTGTTCAAAATAATTGAATTTTTAGAGGAATTCGTTGCCAAATTGATTTATCATTTTAGTCACGAACTAAAGATTGTGATGTAAATGATGCGGTTCTCAAAAAGGAATGTGAACCCAAAGGACAGCATATATGCAGTTACTTGTAATTTGCAAGCTATTGTAGAAACACCTTTACGCCTGAGTGTGAACGCGATTTTGACATTTTTCGATGTTGTGAATGCACCCTTATGACTCTAAATTTAATTGTAGAAATACTATAAAGAGAGAAGAGGACAGAATGATAAACGTGTCCTTTTCTTTCTCATTTATTTAGGCCCTAAGATACCAAATTTAGAGGTTATGTTATTTATATAATTCCTTCTACTTGTCACGATATAGTTAAATTCGAAGCGTTGATAAATAAATAATATTCACGATTTTTAATTTTGTCAATCGGATAAATAATTACCCCTTACTAACTCTATCTAGTTTTCCTTGAAATATACAGAAAAATCATAAATCTATATAGCCATCAAAATATACAAGCTGAATGAATCGAATGAAAAACAGGGAATGAATTTTCGTTTGATTTGCAGAGTCACGTTCCGCGCGTGTAGCCTTCAATTTGAATAAAAGTGGCTTTTCATATTCAATTTCCCATATCTATTAAGATAAACAAGTTTTATTTTTTAAAAATAACTCAACGAGAGTGAGCGAGAGGGGGGGGGGGAGAAAAAAAATTCAAAAGGGTGAACTGTTTGGAAATTAATATACTACATATTTTGAGTGGCAGATAATAATTTGTGAGAAAAATATATTGAAAAGTATGAGAGAGAATATTTTTGCTACATTCAAAAATATAAAAAAAAAAACCGTTTGTATAAAAAAATGCTATAAAAAATGTATAGAAGTAAAAAAAAGCAGTTAAAGGGAATGAAATAGATATTTTTTCGTCTTTTATTTTTAGAGGTTATGACTGACGGACATTTTCTAATCTCTAGCAGTTGGCAGTTTCCAACGTTTCCATTCAACGATATTACGTGCTTAATCTCGCCGTTTTCTTCTATATATAGCGATATATTTATTTTTCCGAGAATTTATAGTGTATATAAAAAGTTTTTAATATACTTTCTTTCAACAAACATTTTACATTCAATGTAAGTATAAAAGAATGAAACAGCAGAAGAAAACGTTAAAAAGTTTATTTTTCTTCTGAAATAATATCGAAATAATGTTAAAAACGAGGTTAAAAATAGTAAGATTAAATTAATTATAAGAGGCCATTCATAAACTTTGTCACGCTATTTTGCACTATTTTTCCATCCTTTCCCCTTTTGTCACAAATTTTACATATTTTGGCTCAATTTTTTTTTACAGATCATCACGCTCAGATAATTTCTCCTCTTTAAGGCGTGGCGTAGTTTATGAACGACTCTTAATACTATTAATTAAATTAAATATTAAAAAATAAATTTTAATACTTTGAACTATTAGAAAAATAAAGTTATATTCAATATTGTTAGATATTTAATTTTTCTAGATCTTTCCTCGTAAAAAAAGTGAATTGCAATTTTTGAGACTTGTGAATACGCATTAATGACAAAGTTCGGTAGTAAAAATTCTCAATGAACACACCTATCTAGTGAAATCGTTACTTCTATGGTAATAATGAGTTGGCAAAAAGCGAACAAAAACAGTGTCAAAATAAGTTGTCTTTAATGACTGTGTTGGAAAATTTAACGAAAAATGTAGAAATTTTAATAACAGTGTCAAAAAAAGGTTGTCTTTAATGACTGTGTTGGAAAATTTAACGTAAAAAAAGTAGAAATTCTGATTCGATTTAATGTGTCAAAGAAAGTTTGTCTTTAATGACAGTGTTGGAAAATTTAACAGAAAAAAGTAGAACTTCTGAAAAAAGTGTCAAAGAAAGCTTGTCTTTAAAGACTGTGCAGGAAAATTTAACCTAAAACGTAGAAATTTTGATTGAAATTCAGGTGTTTTAACCTAAAAATTAATTAATCGTTTCTTTTAAATTAGTATCTAGAGTCAGAGTTGCAAAATTTTCAGTAATTTAAAGTCTAATTATATTCTAGAGAATATTCGCCTTCTGTGAGAAATTAAGAGAACTTTTCCAGATAGCACAAAAGAATTCTTTACATTTAAAGTTTTATACCTTTTCACATAGAAATAATTATTTAAATAAAAATTAATAAATAATGAAATGATTTTGTTGTAAGAAAATTGTAAACATAAATTCTATTTTAAACGAATATCTTAATAATTAAAAATTATTTCAAATCAATTATTATTAATTCTCCCCCACAGTTGGGGGAACAAACTTGCATCAATATTTACAGTAACTTTACAGCAAAATTTCAATAGCAACTTTTGAAAATAATTGAATTATGAACAATTTTAATTGCGCAGATTTTTAAAATAATTGAAATTTGAAGAATTTCAATTTAAAATAATTGAATTTTGAAAAATTTTAATTGAAAATAATTGAATTCGACAAAATTTCAATTGTAAATTTTGAAAATAATTGAATTTTGAAGAATTTTAATTGAAAATAATTGAAGTTTGAAAAATTTTAATTGAAAATAATTGAATTTTAAGAAATTTTAATTTAAAATAATTGAATTTTACAAAATTTTAATCGTATTCTTGAAAATAATTGAATTTTGAAAAGTAATAATTGCATATTTCGAAAATAATTGAAATTCTGAAGAATTTTAATTGAGAATAAATGAATTTTTGAGAATTTTAATTAAAAATAATTGAATTTGGGAAAATTTCAATTGTAAATTTTAAAAATAATTGAATTTTGAATAATTTTAATTGTAAATAATTAAATAATTGAATTTTAAATAATTTGAATTGTAAATGATTAAATTTTAAAGAATTTTAATTGAAAATAATTGAATTTTGATGAATTTTAATTAATAATAATTGAATTTGGCAGAATTTCTATTGTAAATTTTAAAAATAATTGAATTTTGACGAATTTCAATTGATAATAATTGAATTTGACAAAATTTCAATTGTAAATTTTGAAAATAATTGAATTTTGAAGAATTTTAATTGAAAATAATTGAATTTTGAAGGATTTTAATTGAAAATAATTAAATTTTGAAGAATTTTAATTGAAAATAATTGAATTTTGATGAATTTTAATTAACAATAATTGAATTTGGCAGAATTTCGATTGTAAATTTTGAAAATAATTGAATTTTGAATAATTTTAATTGTAAATAATTAAATTTTGAAGAATTTTAATTGAAAATAATTGAATTTTGATGAATTTTAATTAATAATAATTGAATTTGGCATAATTACGATTATAAATTTTGTAACTAATTGTATTATGAAGAATTTTAATTGAAAATAATTGAATTTTGAAAAATTTTAATTTAAAATAATTGAATTTAACAAAATTTCAATTCTAAATTTTGAAAATATATGAATTTTTAAAAGTATAATTGCATATTTAAAAAATAATTTAAATTTTGAAGAATTTTAATTAATAATTTTGAATATAATTCTATTTTGGTGATTTTTAAATGAAAATATTAAATATAATTAAAATTCTGTATAATTTTTTAATTTTATATTTTGAAAAAAATTTTATTTTAAAATCATTCTTATTGTAAATTTTCTAAATAATCTTAATTAAAGTATTTTAACTGTAAATTTTCTAAATAATTCAAATTTTAAAGAATATTAAATGAAAATTTTTATATAGGGGAATGTAGTCAAGGTTGGCCTACTGTCTAGGTAGGCCACTCGCGTTTTTTTGTCAAGTTCACTAGCGCCACCTACGCGCATTTTTGTCGAAGCTTGTCTTAGTGAAACCTAACTTTTTGTTCAATTACATTTTCGGAAAATCGAAAATTGTGTTTTCTGTGACGTCGGTACAAAAAAAGCTCAAAAAAAGTTTTGTGCATAATGTGAAAAACCATTAATAAAAGATAAAAAACAAATTGAATCGTCAAGGCAAGTATGCAGAAAATTTGTGGGACTCATGGTTGAAAGGAAAACAAAGTAAAAAATCGAATCCCGAAACGTATTTCTTTATGGTTACAACAATTCGGTAATGTTACTTACTGTCAAGGTCGGCCACTATGTGTTTAAAATGCGCAAAGTTGAGGACGAGCTACTTCATTTGCAAAAACTGCAATTCTGTATAACTCATAATATAATTGATCATCTTATTAATATTTTTATTTAATTTTATTAATATTTTAGTGCAAAACTTTTTTTTATTTATATTTATTTTTTTATATTGTTTATTGTTATTATTTTGTTATTTCATTAAGTTACAAACTGTAAACAATAAAGAATCAATTTTCCGTAACTCCAAACATGTTATTTTATTTTTTAACGATTAATGCCCTTTGAATTTTAAACATGGCCGACCTTGACTGTAATGGCCAACCTGGACTACAAATTTTTTTTTTTTTAAATCTTTATAACTTTTTCATTTTTAAACCTGTCAATTTACTTTGTACAGAAAAAATGTTCCTATTAAACAGGACTTTCCAACCATATACTTCAATTGTCCAAATTCATTTTTAAAAAAAAGTTATAAACAAAAGTCAAAAAGGTGGCCGACCTAGACTATGTTCCCCTAATAATTTAATTTTCAAAAATTAAAATTTTTAATTTCTCAGTTTTTAAGAATTTGAATTAAAAATTTTTATAATAATTAAAATTATGAAGAATTTGAATTAAAAGTTTTTGAGAAATTGTATGAAACTTGCAGCAATATTGTCAATGTTGCAGCAAGTTTAGGTGCCGTTGGGTCTTATAAATAATAATTTTGAAATCTTGAAATATCCAATTTGGTATAGGGATGTAAAATTTCATGGAATTTTGGTTCGTGAAATATTTCAAACAAGTTAGCGGGAAAATTTAAATTAGAAAATTTGTTTCAAATTATTTATTTATTTCAATCTTGCATGAAATCTTTTCTGGCTCACAACCCTAATTTAGTAACTCAAATGAAGGTTAGTTATACACTCAAATGCATATATGCTCTCCTTCCGGTTTGACGGCGTTTTTAAAAGTCGTGTCACATTTATCAAAATTTTGTTATCAGGAAATTTTTAATTATTATATTTCTCAATTCTCTAGAAACACTTCTAAAGAATATTTTTTTCCCAAACACATTCTCAGTGCGAGCTTATTCCTGAAGTGTAATTTCCACTTAGGAGAGCATGACAATTGAATTTCCCGGATCGAAACCGAAACGCTCTCAAGGGAGTATCTCTCTAATCCTCAAAACGGAATACATACCCGACCCTTGAAGATGAAGACCTCCCTCCGGATGACGCTGATGGCGTCATAGCTGGTATCGCACTTATGCGGAATGTCGTCTGTGACCCGAGGTGTCCAGTGGTGTCTAGGTCGATGTGTACTCGTTGCCGTTGTAGTGGTCCTCATAGTTGTCGTCGTAGTAGTGGTAGTAGTAGAAGTAGTAGTAGTAGTTGGCCTCGGATGATGGTGTACATGTGACTTCCTCGGAGTTGGTGGTCGGTAATCCGGTCTTTCTGTTCTATAGTCAGGTTTTATTGGGTAGCGATCTCGTGGTCGATAATCTGTCCCCTCGTTTCTATAGTCTGGGTAACGATCCAGAGGTCTTCTCGGTCTTTCCTCGTGTGGATAATAGTTTGGATAATGTGACCACGTAGGTCGAGTTTTCCATGGTCTGTAAGTGGTCGTTGTGATTCTTGGCGTAGTCGTCGTAGTGGTTGTAGTCGGCCTTCGTGGTCGTGGAAACACCGGAATATAAGCCCACAATTTATTCTCAGGAGCGCCTGGAAAAAAAAAGATTTTTTTTTTATTTTCTCTTTTCCTTATTCAAAAATTTGAATTATAGAATTCTCATTTTCAAGTTAGAATCGTTGAAACTACAGAACCGGATTATTACTCACAAATCAGTGGATTTGTGAGAGAGGGAAAGCGTCACTGAATCGAATAATAATTATACGAATATTTCCTGTTCGACAAGCAGAATTCTGATTAAACTCTAATCTATTTTTATTTTTATATTTCGATATTTATTTTCTGTCACAAAATGTAAGCATTTAAAATACTTAAAAAGGATTAAAAGTTAAGGATAATTTAATCTAATAAATAGATAATTTAAATTAAGGATTTAATCCTTATATTTAAGGATTAAAAATACTTAAAATTTTTAAAAAGTTAACCAGACAATTTAACATTGATGACAATTTTGAATTGTGAATTGTGAATTGCAAATTAAACCACCGTGAATTTATTTATGTATAAAATGAAAATGGACCTGAACTGATGCTTCTAGAAATGGAAAATAGGTAACGTAACGTGATTCAGAATCGTTGAGCATTATATACATTTATATATATAGTGCGAGAGAGCAATGGAACATACCACATTGCCGTTGTGATTATAACATTCACTCGAATTCTCGTTTGAGGTGCTTCTCATTTAATTATGTACTTTAGTTCCATTGCAATGAATTGCAAAGCAATCCTTTTAAAGTAACCATCAGATTTAACCATTAGGAGAAAATATTCATTTAAAATTCATTTCCAATTGTTTAACTTATTTATCACTGAAAATACGGGGTTCAAGTGTAAGTGTTGTTCTTAATAACTGTGTTGAAAATTTGAATACTAAAACAAATGCTAATTATTCCTGAAAACAATATCAATTTTTTCTTTATTGTTTTTCTTTTATTTATCTTAACGAGAGTAAAAGATTGAATTGCAATTTTGAGACTTGTGAATGCGCATTAATGACATAGTTTAATAGTAAAAACGACTATCTTGTAAAATCGTTACTTCTATGGTTATAATGAGTTGGCAGAAAAAAAACGAAAACTGTCAAGAAAGTTTGTTTTTTAATGACCGTGTTGGAAAATTCAATACTTTAAATCAAAATTCTTCTAAGTATCACTGAAAACAATGTAAAATTTGTTCTTAATTATTATTATTATTATTTTTGTTTCTAAAATGTATCTTACCAGTGCTAATAAAGTCAATTGCAATTCTTGAAGCTTGTGAATTCGCATTAATGACGAATGTAAAAACTGTCAATGAACACGCCTATCTAGTGAAATTGTTACGTCTATGGTTATAATGAGTTGGCAAAAAGCGTAAAAGAAAACATTGTCAAAAAAGCTTGTCTTTAATGACTGTGATGGAAAATTTTGCAAAAAAAGTATAAATTCTAAGAACAGTGTAAAAAAGCTTGTCTTTAATGTCTGTGTTGGAAAATTCAACCTAAAAAAGTAGAAATTGTGATTTAAATTCAGATGTCAAAGAAAGGTTGTCATTAATGACTGTGTTGGAAAATTCAACCTAAAAAAGTAGAAATTGTGATTTAAATTCAGATGTCAAAGAAAGGTTGTCATTAATGACTGCGTTGGAAAATTCAACCTAAAAAAGTAGAATTTCTGAAGAAATTGTCAAAAAAGATTGTCTTTAATGACTGTGTTGGAAAATTTAACCTACAAAAATAGAATTTTGAAAATAATCGAATTTTGAAGAATTGAAATTAAAAATGTTGGAATTAATTTAATTTTGAAGAGTTTAAATTGTAAATTTTGTAAAAATTCAATTGAAATTTTTGAAAATAATCGAATTATGAAGAATTTTAATATAAAGTAATTTATTTTTAAAAATTTTAATTGAAAATAATTGAAATTTGCACAATTTGAAATGTACATTTTCAAAATGATTGAATCTTGAAGAATTGTAATAAAAAAAATATTGAAAATGATTGAATTATACAAAATTTTAATTTTAAATTTAGAAAATAATTGAATTTTAATTGAAAATGTTAAAAATAATTGAATTATGAAAAATTGTAATTGCAAATTTTTTAAATAAATAAATTTTTGAAAAATATTAACTGTAAATTTTGCAGAATGTAATTTAAAATTTTCAAAATAATAAAAATTTTGAAGAATTTCAATTAAAAAAAGTTTTCAAACAATTCAGTTTTGAAGAATTTTAATTGGAAATAATTTTTTTTAAAGAATTTTACTAATAGATTTTAAAGAATTTAAGTTGAAAATGTTAAAATTAATTTAATTTTGAAGAGTTTTAGTTATAAATTTTACACTATTATAGAAAAATAAAGTTATATTTAATATTGTTAAATATATTTCTTTCTGTTAGATCATTCCGCGTCAAAAAATGAATTGCAATTTTTAAGACTTATGAATACGCATTAAGGGCAAAGATCGGTAGAAAAAACTGTGAATGAGCACGTCTATCTAGTGAAAATCGTTTCTTCTATGGTTGTAATGAGTTGTCAAAAAGCGGAAACGAAATCTGTGTCAAAAAAGATTGTCTTTAATGACTGTGTTGGAAAATTTAACAAAAAGAGTGCAATTTCTGAAAAAATTGTCAAAAAAGGGTTGTCTTTAATGACTGTGTTGGAAAATTTAACCAAAAAGTAGAATTACATAAAAAATTGTCAAAAAAGGGTTGTCTTTAATGACTGTGTTGGAAAATTTAACCTAAAAAGTAGATTTTCGGAAATAATTGTCAATAAAGCTTGTCTTTAATGACTGTGTTGGGAAATTTAATCAATAAGGCAATATTAAAGATTCAAATCCAGTCCCTAAAAGTTTATAATTAAGAAAAGGTTAAATTTCGTCGAAACAATTTAAAGTTGCATTAAGTTAATTCCGGTTAGAGAAAATTTCCCTTTAGTTACTACTATAGAAACTGAATAAGGCAAGGAAGGCAAGTAACCTGAAATAGGAAGAGAGTCACATCCGCCATCGTCGACTTGACAATGCGTCGTTTATGACTACCGCTTCAATGCTCCCATCATTCACGAAAATACTCTGTTTCGAGTTTATATTCCCTTTTATTAATTCGCTGATATTTCGCCTATATAAATGTAAAGAGAATTTAACGACCTCACAATAGTTAAATTATTCCCCCAGGAAATTATCATTTGCAAATTATTTTATTATTCCTCAATTAATTTTTTCAAATTATTTTGTTATTTCTCAATTAATTTCCAAAATTATTTTTATTATTTCTAAATTAATTTCCAAAGTTAATTTATTTCTAAATTAATTTCCAAAGTTAATTTATTTCTAAATTAGTTTCCAAAATTAATTTATTTACAAATTTCCAAAATTTCGAAACTTTAGAATTGAGATCAATATTCAATTTTCTTTTTTTGAATTCGACAGTAGTTAGTTTAATTAATAAATAAAATTAATTAATTACTACTAATTACTATTAATTAATACTTAAAATTCTCTAAAGTAAAAAATTAATTTTTCTTTTTATAGCAAAAGTAGATAGTTGAAAATAGTATTTTTTTTTAAATAGTAGCAAGTTCACTAGAGCGGTTTGAATATTACAATATTCCTGGGAAACAATCTCATCAGGAGCCGGGGAAATTGTCACTTTCAGACTTCGAAGTTGTCGTCAATATCCTGTCATCTCTCCAAAGGATATTGTATACAGGACGATGAGACTTCATTAATCAGGGAAAGATAATAGGGACGAGATTTTCTTCTTTTACGAATGCGAACCTAACACTTTCTTCAGCTACTTTTTTTCTCAAACTTTAATTCTACTTCAGAAAAAATTCCTTCTTTCTACGTTTACTACTGTTGGGATTAAGATGAGGACCTGCATATAAGAAGCAAAAGACAAACTTTAGAAACAAGTTTTTTGTCATTGTTTACTTGGCGAATTAGTTTTCCTTCTTCCTCGCGATATCCAATCGAACTTTCAAGACATTTTTTCCAGGACATAATTTCTGAAATTCTTTCCGAAAATTAAATTCTAAAATTTTTTTTTACTTTTAACTAAAGTGCAATTTTTCTGCAAGCTTATAGGTTAATTAGGTACAAGGCAGGGCAGCTTTTAAGGCGAAAAAAGGGTGGAAATAGTGGATAGGGCAAAAAAAGGGTGCTTTAGTCCCTAGGGCCAGAGTAATAGTCAGTAAAAGAGCATCAAACAATTGGAAACAATCGGAAAAGTTTTCTCGCGGTTCTACTATTTGAAATTAGACTCGATGATATTAATCTCCATTTGAAGCAAATAGGAAAAAATGTCACAAGCATAGGGCGGGCATAAGGGGGGTAAAAACGGTGAAATGAAATCTGAATAAAATATAAAGAATGGCTATACTTTGTCCTCAGAGAGTGGGTTTGCACGTCAGGGTGATTTAGTGCGCTGCAGAGGTTTGGCGATTCCCATGAGATTGCAAATGCATTCTGTGGAATCTCCTAACTGCTTCTCGCTCGCACAAATTTTCGCATACTTCTAACCTTTTTTCTCCCCCTCCTCTCTCACCCTCTCCCTTAACACTCTTTTCTCGTATTGAAAAAAATTCCACGTCTACAATATACTTTTCTTGACTATATTTTCATTCCTTTTATATTTTTACTTTTTCGAAAATTTTAGAATTATTTTTGTTTTAAAATTTATCTTCAAGGGGATAAAAAAAAGTGAATTGCAATTTTGAGACTTGTGAATGCGCATTAATGATAAAGTTTAATAGTAGAAATGACTCTTGTAAAATTGTTACTTCTATGGTTATAATGAGTTGGTAGAAAAAAAACGAAAACTGGCAGGAAAGATTGTCTTTTAATAGTTGGAAAATTTAATACTTTTAAAACAAAATTCTTCTAATCGTCCACGAAAACAATGTAAAATTTGTTCTTTTTATTGCTATTATTATATTTGTACTAAAATTTATCTTACCGGTGTTAAAAAAGTCAATTGCAATTTTTGAAGCTCGTGAATACGCATTAATCACGAACGTAAAAATTATTAATGAGCACGTCTATCTTGTAAAATTGTTACGTCTATGGTTATTATGAGTTGGCGGATAGCGAAAATAACAACTGTCAAAAAAGTTTGTCTTTAATGACTGTGTTGGAAAATTTACCGAAAAGAGTAGAATTTCTGAAAAAAGTGTGAAAATAGGTTGTCTTTAATGACTGTGTTGGAAAATTTAACCTAAAAAAGTGAAAATTGGGATTCTAATTTTCATGTCAAAGAAAGATTGTCTTTAAAGACTGTGTTGGAAAATTTAACCTACAAAAATAGAAATTGTGATTTAAATTCAGATGTCAATGAAAGGTTGTCATTAATGACTGTGTTGGAAAATTAAACATAAGAAAATAGAATTTTTGAAAAAGTGTCAATAAAGCTTGTCTTTAATGACTGTGTTGGAAAATTTAACCTACAAAAGGGAAAATTGGGATTCAAATTTTCATGTCAAGGAAAGATTGTCTTTAAAGACTGTGTTGGAAAATTTAACCTACAAAAATAGAAATTGTGATTTAAATTCAGATGTCAATGAAAGGTTGTCATTAATGACTGTGTTGGAAAGTTTAACCTACAAAAGTAGAAATTGTGATTTAAATTCAGATGTTAAAGAAAGGTTGTTTTTAATGACTGTGTTGGAAAATTTAACATAAGAAAATAGAATTTCTGAAAAAAATGTCAATAAAGCTTGTCTTTAATGACTGTGTTGGAAAATTTAACAAAAAGAGTAGAATTTCTGAAAATAATGTGAAAATAGGTTGTCTTTAATGACTGCGTTGGAAAATTTAACCTACACAAAAGTAGAAATTGTGATTTAAATTAAGGTGTCAATGAAAGGTTGTCATTAATGACTGTGTTGGAAAATTTAACATAAGAAAAAAGAATTTCTATAAAAGTGTCAATAAAGGTTGTCTTTGATGACTGTGTTGGAAAATTTAACCTAAAAAAGTGAAAATTGGGATTTAAATTTGCATGTCAAAGAAAGGTTGTCTTTAATGACTATGTTGAAAAATTTAACCTAAATTTTTGTTTTTTGTCCACAGAACAATTTTAGATCATTTTAGGCTTAATTCCTTTATTTATATTCTCAAGTACCTTTTTTTAAAATTAATTTTCTACTTACCATACATTTGTTGAATTCCATTTCGATCGTCTTCTGGTAATTCGAAATTAGTCGTGATCCCTTGATACCAGGGATACATAAGCGCCCCTCGAACTGAACTGTGAGATAAGCCTAAGGAATGGCCGAATTCATGGGCAGCCACTGCGAAGAGACTGGTGCCTGGAAAAAGATAATTATTTTTCTTTTTAATTTTTTTTCTATTTTTTCTATATTTTTATATTTCTATATTTCTATATTCCTTTATTTCTATATTAGAACTTCTAATTCAAACCTACTTTCAGAATCTAAAACTTGTTCGTAATATTCAAAAATGTTACAATAACTTTTTTTGGAACAGTTACCCAACCCTGCTTTCCCCTTCCATATCAAAACGACGCTACTCTAACCCCCCGTTTTGTTCTATATAAAAATTGTACACTGTTGCAAAAATTGCATTTACTAAACGTTACAGATACGCAGGGAAAATCAGATCGAAAGAAAATATTGTAAGATTTTCCCCATGTATATATATATATATACATATATATTGAAAGAGATAGAGAGGGCAAATATCAAAAATGAAAGAAAAAGAGAATTTCAGCAAAATAGAGAGGAAATTGGAAAGAAGAGAAGATTTATAAAAGAAAGTATGAAAAGGATATAAAAATGATTAAAATCCGATGAGAGATGAAAATATGGATCTCTTACTGTTCGCGAATATTTTCTCTTTTCTTTTTTGACAGAAGAAAACAAAAATTTACCAAAATAAAAATAAAAAAAGGAACGTATATAAGATATTGTTACAATTGAATTATAATTTAATTTCGAATGGAAATCTGAAACAATCATTTCAATATTCAAAGCGAATTCAACATGGTGGATAACAGAGAGGTATAATATATTATTGATCCTCGGAAAGTTACTGGACCACGATCCGAGGGGTTTTTTTTTAAACCGCAGCCGCTACATATCATCATCTAAAATTAATCTACTTTTTCCAGATTAATTGGCTTTTCTCTCTCTCTCTCTCTCTCTCTCTCTCTCTGTCTTTTCTTTTTTTTTACTCTTTATATATATTCTTGAAATGAAATGACGCGCAGGGACAAAAAAATTTGATAAATGACTCGGAACAATTTTTTGAAATATGATAAAAAACTATTTTGTTCAAAGAAGGGTTGACAAAGTGAAATATTAAAAGGGGTTTAAAAAAATTAACACTACAAAGTAATTAATAATAATATTAATTTAATAATTTAATAACTTGATTCAATTTTCAGGGTTTTTTTTATTCTTATTAATTTATTATTATCAATATTATTAAATATTATAATTGAATAATCAAATTGTTGCTACAGTATACAATTTTTATGTAGAACAAAACGGAGGTTAGAGAAGCGTCCTTTTGATTAGGAAGGGGAAACCAGGGTTGGATAATTAATAATAATAATAATAATAATTTAAACAAGTGGCGTTGTTTTGATCAGGGTTGGGTTACTTTTTCGTTTCTTTAATATATAAATCATTGGCCCAAAGGAGAACAAGTGATTCACTTTACATAAAATAAAAAGAAGGTAACACTTCTATCCTTTTCTTTCTCATGGAATGTTTATTATTATATATACCAGGGTTGGGCTAGTCGTTTGTAAAAGTTTCAAAATAAATCGTTCCACATCAGAATAGACTGAAATTTACTCCAAGAGAGTATTTTATTCTTCTCGGAAAATTGTTTCCCCTTTTTTTATGTTAGTGAGGTTATGTTAGACAAGAAAAGTTTTATGGGCCATTGTTTCGAAACTTGATGTCTGATTTTTTTCCTAAGCTGTTTATATTCAACCACCTTCAAGCAGTTAGTCTTCCAAAATCTACCCTCTCTCTCTCTCTCTCCTTCTCTCTCTCCTTCTCTCTCTCTTTTTCTCTCTTGATAATAAATTTAATTACGTATAATAAACTCTTGAGTTCCCAAAGTTATGTATATATGGGTGTATAAATTCTTCTCCAGGAAATAAATTTTTTTTTTCATCTCATCTTTTATTTTTTTTTTTAGATTTTATTCAAAGAAAAAGCTCTCATGCAAAAGTATATGGTTAGTCAAAGTTTATGCTATCAAAAACTGCATTTTTAACAAACGAGTTTAAGCTCGGGAAGAAAAAGTTTTCACGTTCTAACTTCCGAGTGTCGTTATCAGATTTTAACTTTTGTGATATATATGTATATATATATATAACAAACTCTATATATATATTTTGCGCCCGCGCTAACTTTTCCGGTATGAGATTTCGATGTAACAATCCACTTTACGTTTTTCTTTTTTTGACCAAGTTTTTATTTATATTTTGATTTTTCAATTCGCAATATAATAAATTCGATTCGGCGGCCATTTTGAATTCGTAATAACTGGAAAATAATTTTGATTTACGGATTTTTTTTCTGTTCTTGGTTATTGAAAATAGTTTTTGCTATTTCGTTTTCTGGAATCAGTAAAATTTGTTGTGATTTTAGGTTATGTTTAAAGTTTTTTTTTAAAGAAAGTTATTTGCTATGAATTGTTATGAAATTTGACATTTTCTTGAGTGGAAATGTCTCGCATTTCTAGGGGAACCCCAAACAAGATGAGCTACATAGTTACCTCCTGGTTAATTATCAGGAGTGACCGATAATTGAAGCTCTTTGCGGTGGCAATGTGGCTGGCTGCCAAAGTCCCTGATATTCGAGATTGCTGCCAGAATATTCATCTTCTTTGAGTCATAACATCAACTATTAGGTTCTCATTAGTCGATTACTCAGGCACTCAGGGGAAAAATTAAGTTACTTGTTACAATTTTATTTAGTCCTTGATAATTAGTACAACGTCCGAAATCCGACACTTTCTTAGGTGTATATCTCTATCCTTTTCTATCTCATTTCTATTTTTAGACGCTTTAGCATTTTTGGGGTGTGTGAACTGAGCCTTAATTAATTACCGAACGGTAAAGAATTAGTACAACATCCGAAATGCGACACATTGAAATATTCATCTATCCTTTTCTATCTCATTACCATTTATTAATTCTTTTGTCTTTTGGGGGTTGTGAACTGAGCTTTAATGAAAGAGCGAAAGAGGTGAAGAGCAAGAGATTGTAAAACTAGCTTTTTCTAACTCATTCTGCTGGGGGAAATAAAGGAATATTGAAAATTTATTGTCAACCAGCCTTAAAGAGATAGACAAAAAAACAAAATGGCCGCTAAGAGCACAGTTCTAGAAACGAACAGCGTATTTAAATGTCTTTCCAATAATAAAAATGAAAATAAAAATTAATTAAACCAATCCACATATGAAATGGACACTATTCGAAATTATATACACACGTAACATTTGCGGATAACAGTCTAAACCACAAATTCATTGAAATTTAATGGAAACTGTCCCTGAAACACTACTACCACCACCACCACTAGTCCTCGTGACGTAATAATACTCTAAAGTGAAATTGAAATTCAGTTTAAATCAAGAAATTCTACAGTTGTTCCAGAAAGGGGTGTTTCATCTTATTCATGACTATATGTATGTATATATACTTTAGACCGCAATTCGGTAGTTGAAGCAACCAATCAGAGTGAGTTGAACGGAAATTGGTAAAATCGAAGGGAATAAGACAACCGGAAACAAGGGTACGCGGAACGTTGACTTATTTTTTTTTTTCTTTTTTTTTCACTCTTTTCTTTTTTATATTTCCACCCAAAATTCAATTCACGGATTTCCCTCTGGGGAAATGTGGCCGTCATGAGTTGTATTGACGTTATTTCATTTGCAGTTGATGGGAAAATTAAATTGTATTTTCCAACGAATTTTAAAGAGAAGGAGTTTGGTAAATTTTTTTTTAATATAAACTTGTCACTTTTATTGTTGAGATAATTATTTAACGAAAAATAGTTTCGCGAAAGTCGTTTGCGAACAAGATGCATGAGATAGAAAAAGACACGAATATATCACTGTCCTTTATCTAACTTTAAGGTCATATCACAATTAGGCTGTTTCCAAGAACCTTAAGGCCAATGCACAATAGCTTCGTGAACTAATTGTGCCTTGGCCTTTAAATAAAAAAAATCATGACCTTTAACATAACCTCAAAATTTAACAAAAATAGACAAAAAATAGTGAGAAAGCTGACATTTTCAGTAAAAATATGACAATAAATATTTGTATAAGTGCAATAAGTATATTTTATGTCAATACGTATTTGTAGATTGAAAATATTTTCTCGCTCTATTTGTATGGTAAATTTAGTTTAATATTTTCTCTCTCACCTTCTTCGTCGCTGTCGTCACCATTGAGTAACCAGATTTCTTCCTCGTCGAAATGTGCATCGCCACCGCGATCGCCACCAGGGAAAAAGGCGTGAGCCAATATCTTTCCTCTTCCATCAAACGGATATCCGTCGCCGTGATAACCCCTGAAACGAGACGACGTTCACGATAGCAATTTGATCAGCATCCTTTTGCCGGGAATGGAATATAAACAAGTTTATTTTGCCCACAAATATTTTTTTTAACCTTTACTATTCTCCTTTAGTGTGTGGCCCATTTTTTTTTTTGTTGCAGCAAAATATCGACAAAAATTGAATCAAACTTGTGAAACTTGCAGAAAGGTTTACCAATATTGGATCAATATTATGAAGATTGCAGCAAGTGGCAACAACATTGCCACTCAATATTGTGAAAGTTGCAGCAAAATTTGACAAAATTGAATCAACTTTGTGAAACTTGCAGCAACATTTACCAATATTGCCTCAATATTACGAAGATTGCAGCAAGTGGCAACAACATTGCCACTCAATATTGTAAAAGTTGCAGCAACATTTACCAAAATTGAATCAATATTGTGAAACTTGCAGCAATATTTAATAACTTTATAATCCCAACACAAAAACATTAGTAAGAAAAGAATGGAGATATGTCTATCCTTTTCTTACCAATGGAATTTTTTTAGTTCGTCCACATACCACCAGGACCCCTACCAGACATCTAGGGGAATTTATCTTAAATTTCAATGAAGAGAATCGACAGGTAAAATAACAAATAGGCGTTAATAATAAAAAAATGTGTAGAAACGTTGACAAATTAATTACATTCTTTAAATCATAAAGAGCGAAAGATTAACGATTTTTCCTTTTTTTTTACAAAAGATTAAAAAAGAAATATGAGAGGTGATTGTTTATAGCGTCCGTAGATGAAGCTAATTGCCGGAGAAATCGATATATCGAAATTCTCGACAAATCAACTTTTCGGATTAATAAACTCTTCTTTCCCCTCTTGAATTTTTTTTATTGCTCTCTTTCCTAATTGTCGATTTATAAATTTTTTTTCTAAAGTAAAATATAGAACAGTTATTTCAAGTTTTTAAATTTTAACTTTAATGCCTTAGAGGACAGTGAAGAAAGAAGAATATTTTTCCTGTAACATACGGGATGTAATTTATTTTCTCGAGTGTCGTAAATTATTCAATTTTATTTCTCCTTTTTTTCCTCTCTTTTCTATGTAATAATTTACAAACGCAAACTTAGATTGAAGGTCCTTATGTAGATACCTACGTTAATTGCTTTATTTAAATTACATCTCATTTTACGTAATGCAATAGAAAAAAAACAAGTGAGAGAGGCTTTACAATGCTTTACAATGTGTCAACGTTTCTTGCAACAAATGAAATTGACGGTCAAAAGTTTCTCTCGTATTCCAATTAGAATAAATTTCCTGCTATGTCTTGTAACAGAAAGGCAAAAAAAAATACGAAATAGAAAAATTAAGGCCAACGTGAATTAGTTTCACGAGTTTTTGCATGCGAGAGAATGAGATAAAAAAAGAATGGAAAAAAACTCTGTTCTTCTGTTTTTTTGTTTGGAAAGTCATTGTGGTTTTACCTTTAAAATAAGAGAAATCGTTTTTCGATCTGTTGAAACTGTGTATTAACCTTTAGAACTAGAATTTTAGTGGGGAATCCCCGAAAAGCGTCACTGGTCAAATTTCGCATTTAACTACCCAACCTTGGCTTACCGGTCCCCCTAGAAAGTGGGGTTTTTGCATTAAAGGTCATTACACAATAAATTTACGAAAGTCGTTTGTGAATCTACTGTGCATTGGCATTTATTTCCTTCTTGTAAGATTGTTGACGAGTAGAAAATTTTATCCGTCAGAGTTGGGTAGTTACGAAAAGGTAAAAAATTTGACCACTTCATGAGAAGTTGAGGCCAACGCACAATAGCACAGTCAGTATTTTTTCTAACTCATGCTACTTGTTTAGCAAAGCAATTGTGCATTGGCCTTAAGATTACAAAAACCTTATGTAAAATCAACCATAATTCTACAATTTTCTTGAGAATTAAATTAATTGTGATAAAATTCTGAAACTTACCGATGAAAGTAAACCAATATGTCGGCCTGATCGCTGTTAACTTCCTGAAAGGTGAGTTTGGAATTGGCGGACCAAATAGCGAGCGCCCTGCTGAGTTCCAGGCGCACTTCGCCTGTTTCCAAGCCACTGGGTTGCTCCGTCCTCAAGCTGGAAGCAGAATAATTAAGATTAAGACGCATGCATACGTGTCAACTACGTTGTCTATTATCAGTGTTTGAATAATGATAGTAGCAGACTAAATTTATACTTTTTAACTGCTTTTCTACTGTTAATTTAGTTTTCAATAAGATGTTATTGTAAAAGGACCTTATTGTTCGCATTGTTAAACTACCTTTATATCGATAATAAAAAGAAACATTGTGGAAGCACCTTATTGTGCGCATTGTTGAATCACCTTTAGGGTAATAATGAAAAGAAACATATTGTAGAAGCACCTTGTTGTGCATTTTTGAATTACCTTTAGGGCAATAATAAAAAGAAACGTATTATGGTAGCACCTTAAATTTCTCAGAAGCAACTTGTCCGCATTGTTAAACTACCTTTATATCGATAATAAAAAGAAACGTATTGTAAAAGCACCTTAAACTTCTCAGAAGCACCTTGTTGTGCGCATTGTTGAACTACCTTTATATCGATAATAAAAAGAAACGTATTGTAAAAGCACCTTAAACTTCTCAGAAGCACCTTGTTGTGCGCATTGTTGAACTACCTTTATATCGATAATAAAAAGAAACCTATTGTAGAAGCACCTTAAACTTCTCAGAAATATTCCCCCCCGTAAAATATGACAAAAAGAAAAGCTATTGTAGAAGTACCTTACATATATTTCTCAGAAAAGAACGTGGAGTGAAAATTTAAAGCGATGAAAAAGCAAAAAAAAAAAAAAAATAGAAGAGAAGAGAAAGAGGGAAAAAAATGAGAATCGATAGCAAATTTTTGCTTGGAAATATTCATGTATGAAGTATCTTGTTCAGCTTGAATATTACAGTAGGACATTCACCTGCTTCTTGTTACATTCATACATGTCGTTGTACCTTCATTTTACCAGAGGCAGTATGCAATATCGTAGAGAAGAGCTATTGTTCCTGGCAAATAGCCCACCTGTCCACATTGTATCCAAGTAGCGGGGAGAATGAATAAAGGACCGAGATATATACACGTCCTATATATATTGGGAGATATAGTAAAGCCGATTTTCCATATATATCAATATCCTTCATTCATGGTTTTAACGGATTACATTTGGATTACCGAGATTAATTAGGTCGAAAAATAATTATTTTTCAATTTTCCCTCGTGACATTATTCAAAAAGTATTCACAAATTTCTCTTCTCTATTTGCGATGTATTAGATGTATTGTATCTATTGTATGGAGTAAAAAGAGATGCAGGAGGATTAAGGTACTTTTACAACATTTTTTTGTTGATATCAAGAAAAGAGAGTGTGAAAAGACCTTAATTTTTATTACTTTGCGGTAAATTGACAAATGGGGTATTTTTTCTTAACTGCCCAACCTTGGGAACCTTAAGCCGAACCCACACAGCAGCTAAACTTGCAGCAATATCGATAAAATTGCTGCAAACTTTATAATCTTGAGGGTAATGTTGTTAAATGTTGCTGATAGTTTCACAATGTTGATTCAATTTTGTCAAATATTGCTGTAACTTTCACAATATTGAGTGGCAATGTTGTTAGCATTTGCTGCAAGTTTCATTATATTGAGGCAATCTTGTTAAATGTGCCTGCAAGTTTCACAATGTTGATTAAATAATGGTAAATTCACACTACAAATGAAAATAATGGTCTATTGACCATTGAATAATAGTCAATTTACAATAGAAATTCAAATAATGGTCAAATGACTATTAAATAATGGTCAATTCACACATTGAAATTAAATAATGGTCAATTAACTATTAAATAATGGTCAATTCACACTAAAAATTCAAATAAAGGCCAATTGACTATAAAACAATGGTCAATTCACACTACAATTGTAAATAATGGTCAATTTATACTATAAATGACAATAATGGTCAGTTTACACTACAAATTCAAAGAACGGTCAACAGACCATAAAATATTAGTAAATTTACACTAACATTTGATACTAGACAAGTGTGAAATATTATTTTCCATCTCTGCATTATAATCTATTTTCATCGCTTCAATGATGTTGGCAGTTGTTGCTTGTTTCGATATATTAAAGCAATTTTGTTAAATGTTCCTGTAAGTTTCACAGTATTAAGGCAATTTTATCAAATTTTGCTGCAACTTTAACAATATCGAGTGGCATTGTTTTTAGCTTTAAATTTAAATAACGGGTAATTAATACCTAAATAATGGTCAATTCACACTTTAAATTTCAATAAAGGCCAATTGAATATTAAATAATGGTCCATTCACACTTTAAATGTAAATAATGGTTAATTAATTAATCATTAAATAATTGTCAATTCACATTATTTTTGTAAATAATGGTCAATTTACACTATAAATTTAAATAATGGTCAGTTCACACTAAAAATTCAAATAATAGTCATTTGGCTATTAAATAATGACAAAATCACACTAAACATGTAAATTATTGTCTAGTTATTATTAAATAATGGTCAATTTACACTACAAATTCAAATAGAGGCCAATTTACTATTAAATAATGGTTAATTTACGATACAAATTCAAATAAAGACCAATTGAATATTAAATAATACTCAATTTACATTAAAAATTTAAGTAGAGGCTAACTTACTATTAAATAATTGTCAATTCACACTACAAATTCAAATAAAGGCCAATTGAATATTATATAATGGTCAATTCACACTTTAAATTTAAATAATGGTCAATTCACACTACAGTTGTAAACAACGGTCAATTTACACTATAAATTTAAATAATGGTCAGTTCACACTGCAAATCTAAATAATAGTCAATAGATTATAAAATAATGGTAAGTTTATACTAAAATTTGATACTAGACAAGTGATAAATATTTTTCTCTATTAATAATGTTCAATTTACAATAGTCTTTTTTTAGAAAAAACTTCTTGTAAATGTAGCAATAATAACGTTCAATTTACAATAGCTTTTTTCAGAAAAAACTTTTTGTAAAAGTAGCATTTATAAAGTTCAATTTACAAATAACCTTTTTTCCCTTTCTTCAATAAAAAAAGTTTTTTTTCCGCGAAAATTGGAAAATATTTTTCGATTAGTAAACTTTGTTTATTATTTGCGCAACAAAGCAGAGTTGGGTAGCAAGAGAGAAGAGAAATTTGTCACGTTAAACTCGGATTATGAATTATGACACGTATTTTATGGGGGAACGAGAAGTTTTCCTGAATAGTTTATGAATAAAGTAAAGTTAATATTGTGTCGATGACAGGAATCAGTGAAGTGTGAGTGTCGACAATTTTGAAGAGTTCCGACAAGAGTTATATAACTGCGATGGTGTAAAAAGAAGAGAATGGAAAATGGAGAACGCGAGAGAGAGAGAGAGAGAGAGAGAGAGAGAGAGAGTTTTGTGAGTAATCCTTCGATGGACTGACAAGTGATAGAGAGGCGTTCATTCGTTGATAATTGATCGAGGGCCGACGTATGTTATCGCCATGTTATAGGAAATCCTCACAGCATCGTCTGTATATTAACTGAATATATGCGCAATCAGCTATATCCTGCTTAGTTCCTGATGCGTAAAAGAGCACACAGTTCAATGATTTTCCTGCCAAGGGCTTCCAAACATGTTTGTCTCAGGATTTAGCGTGCAATCTCCTTAAACCACTTGAGCAAATTTAATTAAATTGGAATAAACAGATTTTAATAGAAAATAGTTTCCTTGCTTTTCTTCTTTTTTGTTATTTCACCATTATTTTAGTCCATAGACTACATAAATTACGTATTTTCAACGTTTATCTGCTTAACTGACTTTATTTTCCATCTTAAGGTACTTCTACAGTGTCTTTTCTCATGCCCCAACATTTCTGACGTAAAAGGGTCATTCTACAATGTATTTTTAAGTAAACACAAAATGTTATTGTAGATGTGCCTTATTGTGCACTTCTACAGTGATTTTTGTTCATGGTCCCCAACATTCCTGGCGTAAAAGGTTCATTCTACAATGTCTTTTTGAGTCAATACAACAATTGTAGATGTACCTTATTGCAGTCGTAAGATTAAACAGAAACTTATTGTAAACGGTCCCTTCGACTCAAAATTATTGTGCATTGGCCTTAATAAAGTTATATTAATAAAGGTGTATTCATATTTCCGAAAACAATTTTTTTTCTTGTAAACGGACCCTTCGATGCAAAATTATTGTCGGCTGCCCTTAATAAAGTTAACTGAATAAAGGTGTATTCGTATTTCCGAAAACAAGTTCCAATTTTGTACAATAAAATTCACATTGCACAATGTTTGCACTCTAAAGTTTTAATAAATTTCATCTCTCCATTGTTGAAATGTATTTTGATTTGTATTCATAGAAAGCAATTTCCAACCTAATCCAACAAGCCTTTGACCCTCATAACAATATGTTGCACTCCTTTTTGTAAAGTCGAATGAGTTTGGTATTCTCAATGCGGAAATAAACTTTGTGTATGCTTGCATTCATCTTCTTCCTGATTCTAATCATTATCCAAGTTTCCATCTCGTATCACGCTTAGTTTTGAGAGAAAATATCTGTAGGCTTGGAATAATATAGTTTAGAGAAGGATGGAAACTATGTCAATTTCTTATCGACTGTTGTGAAATACACTTTATAATAGAGATTTTTTAGCTTCCCAACCCTTATTATGCAGTAACATTGTTGTGTATATTGACCATTATTTAATAGTCAATTCACGATAGAAAATATCAATAATGGTCATTTGGCTGTTAAATAATGGTAAGATAACAATACAAATGTAAATAATGGTCAATCGACCATTGAATAATAGTCAATTTACACTAGTAATTTAAATATTGATAATTTGGTTATTAAATGAAGGTAAATTCACACTTGAAATGTAAATAATTGTCTATTGATCATTAAATAATAGTCAATTTACACTACAAATTCGAATAAAGGCGTTGACTATTAAATAATGGTCAATTCACAATATAATTGTAAATAACTGTCAATTTTACTATAAAATTAAATAATGGTCAG